TTTGTCACTTGTAGTCCTTGTTACTACTTTTTTCAGAATCAAGTCCTGCGGTTTTATTCTCTTCATTCGTTCAGTCGTTTATTCCTTCATTCAACAAATATGAATCGAGTGCTACAAGACTAGGCCCTGAGGCTGTGGCAGTGACCAAGACAAACGTGACAGACATAGTCTTTGTTCTGATGGAACCTGTAGTCCAAATGGAGAGCAGCCATTCATTTATTTAGCTCAAGAAATATTTATTTGGTGCCTTCTGTTTTTTAGCCACTGCTGTGCCTATCAACTAAATAGATAATGATGTAAATTGTTTAATCATGTAATTATTTAATCTTAATGGTTTTATGTGCTTTAAAGAAATAGAGGAGGTCGTGAGAACCTATAATAAGAATACCTATTCTAGTTTGCATGGCAGTAGGAGTCAGTCAGGAAAGAGTTGAGGAAGGAACATTTATTTGAAACTTGAATTAGCCAAGTAAAAACCCTGATGAGAATAGGGATTGGAAGGGCAGGAAGGCAGGGAGGGGTAGTTAATTATTGATTGCACTGTTATCTATAAAGTTATCAGCTGCTGTAGAATCTTAAGAATGAAATTCTACTCCCATCATTCATCATTGTCATAAGCTCTGTGACTGAAACATGCAGACTCCTTTATTATAGCACTCACAGCCCTGGTTCTCCTTCCTGGGCAGTGATTATTTTGAAATCTCTATCTGGCAACACCAAAGAGATTTTTAGCCTTGATGGGAAATCAGGATGTATGTTTGAGAGGATAATTAACAATGTAAGCTAAGTGTCCAGTGAGTGGTATAGTTAAATACTTGATTTGGGGAAGAGCACTGTCACTTTGATGTGGAGTGACTGTGGTAGGCCTTGGAGGTAGGTAGTAAAGCTTGAATTAAAGAGAGACTCAGAAAAACAAAGAGGAAAGGAACCAGGCATTTCCAGTAGAGAAAAAGGAGAAAGCAAAGGCAGGCAAGTGGAAATTCAGCGTTGCATTCAGTGTACTGTTGCCTAAGGCCTAGACAGTGCCTACTGTTGTACTGGAGTAATGTGATAGAAGACAGAAGAGGGCCTGGGAAGGACCTTGAATATCAGGCTAAGGAATTGGGACTTTATCATTTGAGCAGAGCGATGGCATATGTAGAACAGTTTTAGGATACGTCTGGCAATGAATGGGTGGCTTCAACACTGGGCACTGAGCTCGGCCAGTATGGCTCACTGGTTGAACGTCAACTCATTCATCAACAGGTCGCCAGTTGGATTCCCGGTCAGGGTACATGCCCAGGTTGTGAGCCCGATCCCCAATGCGGGGCATGCAGGAGGCGGCCAGTCAATGTTCTCTCTCATTGATGTTTCTATCTCTCTCTCTCTAAAATCAATAAAAAAAAAAAAAAAAGAAAACCCCTTAAACTAGGCACTGAGTCATGAGGATGCCTAGACTACTGGGCCAATAATTCAGCCCAACAGATAGATGTTTATGGAGCACTTCCTGTGTGGCAGTGGGATGAGTCAGGAGTGAATGAGTGACAGAACACTTGCTGGAGGAACCCAGAGACTTGTACAAGACCATGTTGGAGGTTGGAGAGATGAAAGAGTGGGAAGGAAAATGGTAGGAGTCAGGGCCCCTCCTTTCCCCACCTGCACTGGTTTCAGGGTTTGGCAAACTGTGGCCCACAGGCCAGAACCATCCAGATGCCTATTTTTGTATAATGGTTTTTACATTTTGAAATGAGTTTGTTTGTTTTTTGTTTTTTATCCTCACCCGAGGACATTTTTCCATTTTTTGTTCAGAGAGCGGGAGGGAGAGAGAGAGAGAAACATCGACGTGAAGGGACACATCGAGTGGCTGCCACCCGCTCGACCAACCAGGGCCGGGGACAAACTGCAACCGAGGTACGTGCCCTTAGGGGAAACCGAACCCGGGTCTCTCTGAACCGCAGGCCGACGCTCCAACCGCTGAGCCAAACCGGCCAGGGCGAAATGAGTTTTTTAATAACAAAATAAGAACAGTATTTCGTGATATATGAAAATGATATGAAATTCAAATTTCATTGTCCCTAAATAGTTTTTTTGGAGCACATCCTTGTTTGCCTTTTTATGTATTGCCCATGGCTACTTTCGCAGAGAGCTGCAGAGTTGAGTGGTAACAGACAGCATGGCCCACAGAGCCTGAAATACTGAGTGTCTGGCTCTTGATAGAAACCTGTCCTCCCTTGAGCCACACCCATGCTTATCTCACTCTGTTCTCTCACTCTCTCTTCCTACCTGAAGCTTTCCCTCTGCCCAGGCTTTAAATAGCCTTCTCTTCTTTATGTTCCTCCCTAGATCCTCAGCTTCTCTCTCCTCCAGGACCTTTCTCCCAAATATGCTCAAGACGTAGCCTACCTAAAAACCAAAACAAACACACTTTTGCTGCTGCTGTCCATCTCGAGTCTCTGCCCACTTCACCTTTCATTTAGTTACCTTCACCCAGACTTCTGACCCCAGCAGTCCATTAAAACTAGTCTTGCTGAGTCATTAGTGAGTTCCTAGCTGCTGGATGCAGTAGTTTCCCCAGTCCTTATCTTCCTTTTTGCTGACATTTAACATTTTGATCATTCTCTTTTCCTAGGGACCCTTTTTCTCTTGGCTTCTGTGACAACGTTCTCCTTTGCTTCTCTTCCTATTTCCCCAGCCCTTCCTCGCATTTATCCATCAATGGCTTCTTTTCTTTTACCAGTACCTTAAACACAGATGACTTACACAGGTCTAGCCTTTGTCCTTTTATAAGAGTTGTTATTTTATTGAGTACCTACTTTATGGCAGTTACCGTATTTAAATGCTTTGCACAGACTATTCCTAATTCTTATGACAACCCTAGACTCCTGCCACATGTTGGCTTCTTAGCTCCCAGTCTGTGTGTCTGACCTGGCTGTTAGACAGTTCCACCTGGAAGTCCTGGCAGCACCGCAGACCCAACTCACTCTCTCCCTCGATCCAACCCCTAGTTGGTAGTGTGACCATCTCTTACGTCATAAATCTTGGGGGTTGATCTCAACTCTGCCTCTCCCTGGCCCCTTCGACTCCTCAGCACCCAGTTGTCGTTATAGTCCGTCATTTCTCCCCCTTTAATTTCTCTGGAATTCATCTCTCTTATTGTCTGTCCACTGTTACTTCCCTAGTTCAGATTCTTTTCATCTCTCTCCTGGACTATTGTCCCTCTTCTCTTAATCTATCCCTTCTTCTACTCCAGTCCGTCCTCCACAAGGATACCAGAATGATCTCTCCTAAACCCCAGATCTGAGTGTGTTGCTGTCTTGGTTAAAACCTGTTGATGGCTCCCCATTGTCCTGTTTCTCTACTCCATAGCTTAACCAAGGAGGCTTCGCCTTCTAGTGTCTTCTCCTTCCAGTCTGTCAGACACTGCAAATGCCTTGTGGCTCACTGTACCAACAAACCCATTCACATTTCCATGCAGCTCCCCAGGTGCCGGTTTCTTCTTTCTGCAATGGCCTTCTTCCCCGTTTGAGGAATATCTTTTCACTTTGTCTCTAAAAAATGGACTTCTCTCTTCGTTCAGAGAGAGTGCCAGGGTCTCTGGGCTTCACTGATCTCCAGGCTTTCCGAGAGGGGATGGGTTTTCCTTTTTTATGCTCCCAAGCACCTTGGGCGTGTATCTGTTGTCAGGCTCAGCACACCTGCCTTCTTAAATTGGCATTCCTTAAAAGCAGAGATTTTGGTCTTCTTTATGTTTTTTATCTGTGGTATCAACCTTGTCGCCTGGGACATAGTAGTTCAGTGACTGTTGAATGAGTAACAGTAGTGTGGTTAGAGTATGAACTGAGGCTTTGGAGGAAGGTTAGGACTAAAGGATGAAGATGTTTGCTAAAGCTGAAGAGTAGACAATACTAGCACACTGATGTGTATAGCATCAGATAATTTACAGAGTATTTTCACAGATGTTTTGTCGTCTTTCCTTCCACTCAAAAGCACTGTGAGACGGTCAGGGCAGGCATTAACATTCGCATTTTAGAAATAAAGAACGTGGAACTCAGAAATGAAGACATGCTCAGAGTCTTGAACATAAGTGTCAGGGTTCAGTCTTCTCCCACCAAATCTAATGCTGCTTCCTCTGCACCACTATAGAGATGGGAAGGTTTGGGAGATGAGAGAGAAGTTTTGGAATGAACCTACATTTAGAGGTTAAAGCAAAGGAGTGGCTCAGAGAAGGTAAAGAGAGCCCCAAGGAATTACTGTGTGGTGAGGAACATGATTTCAGAAGGAGAGGGCATCATCCATAAGATATTTTTGCAAATAATGAAGGAAAGTGGGGAAGGATGAAAGAGTTTGACCACCAGGAAATTCAAGAGAATAATTTCATACAGTGAAGCCAGCTTGCCAAGTGGCAAGGAATACATGGGCATTGAGGGCAAGGGAGGCACAGTGAAAACTATCCTTTCAAGTAGTTGGGTAGTAAAAGGAAACCCAGAGGCTGGCAGTTTGAGAAATGTCAGACTCTAAGAAATTCATGATGCATTATTTTCATTTTGTTGACTTGAAAATCTTCAGTGGAAACTATGCTAGTATATACCTGCTCATATATACATGACTGAGTGTATACCTTTTAGGATGGTTTAGACTCAATTTAACATTGGTCAGTTCCAATCAAGATATAGTGCCATAGGGCAGGATGTTTGACTTAAAATTAAGTCAAATGTTATTTTAATTTAGTTAACTGTAAGAGTGTATGCCCAGCTTTAGAGGATGGATGTATACTAAAGTCTGCAAACACCCTTCTTGTATTCATTTAGAATAGTCACCTACCTACTAGCTTATCTGTTCCTAATTCCTCATTATTTTTTGTCCAGGTGTGATTTGATCAATGGGAAGATATCCCCATCGTGTAGTTAGAGGCTGTTTTCAGTGTTTTTGTATCATCCATATTCCCTGGGAACCAAGCTTGGGGGTAGTTCGAGCCTGGGCAGCTCTTTTGTCCTGTTGCTGAGGTGTCCTCTGTCTCCCAGGTGAAGCGGTACCAGTGCACCTTTGAGGGCTGTCCCCGCACCTACAGCACAGCAGGCAACCTGCGCACCCACCAGAAGACTCACCGAGGAGAGTACACCTTTGTCTGTAATCAGGAGGGCTGTGGCAAGGCCTTCCTCACCTCCTACAGCCTCAGGATCCATGTGCGAGTGCACACGAAGGAGAAGCCATTTGAGTGCGACGTGCAGGGCTGTGAGAAGGCGTTCAACACGCTGTACAGGTCAGCCGTCCTCTCCCTGCGCCACCAGCCTCGGACCCCAGCCTGTCACCGTGGCAGAGCTCCCTCCTGCACAGTACAGGTGTCTTCTCAGGGCTTTAAAGAGCGCAGCTGTGCTCAACTGTGTAGAATTCATTAGAGGAGCCTGTTACTTAAAGATTGACATATATCGGATTGGTTGAAAATGGAGTACATTTGTGTTTAGATTTTGTTTCTCCTGGAGTGATGTCCTGGCCTGGGGATTTGAGTATTCGGCCTAGAGTACTATCTCCCCTCAGCTCAGAACCTTGGTACAAAGGCTTCTGTCATTTTCTTTTTTTTCATTCCTCACCCGAGGATATTTTTCATTTTATCATCAGATAGAGTGGAAGGGAGGGAGGGAGAGAGAGACAGAGAGAGAGAGAGAAACATCGATGTGACAGAGCCACATCAACTGTTTGCCTCCCACATGGCCCTGGTCATGTCGGGACAAACCGCAACCGAGGTACGTGCCCTTGATCAGAATCGAACCCGCGACTCATTGATCCGCGGGCCTATGCTCTAACCACTGAGAAAACTGGCCATGGCACCTTCTGTCATTTTCTTTCCTATCTCACTTTGAAGATTACTTTCTTTCTAGCCTGAGAAATGAGTAGTCCACTCATTAGCCATTTCTCTTTTCTGCCATTGGTATCAGGTGCCTCATTAGTCTTCCACATTGGGTGTGAAATAACAAACATAACGAGAGCTAACACATTTGAGGCACTCACTGTGTGCTAGGCACTGTTCTGGGGGCTAATCCTCACAGTGCTAGTAAGTAAATGGGAGCCCAGAGAGGTAATTGGCCAGGGTCTCCCGTCCAATAGGAGGTGGGACCAGGATTTGAGTCCCAGGCTCGAGTCATGCTCACCAATACTGTATACTTCTCTGTGAGCAAACATTTTGGAACTAATATGTATGACAATAGAAGTCTTATGCACTTAATCCTTTTTAAATACTTTAAAATCATTTTAAATTTTATCAAGGTTATATATTCTCAGTGTTACAGAGTAGATAGTTCTATAAGGTTTGTCACAAAAGATGTACCTCCTCATTTCTCCCCCTTCACGTACATCCACTTTCCACTCTTAGCTTAAAATTTATATTTACTTCTATGATTTTAAGTATTAGGCTTATATTGCTTCTTTTTGCTTTTTTCCATTTTAGGATAATGACTTCCCACTACGGAAGTTAAGGATTAACTCAGTTCCCCCATCTCCATCACACTTGGCACCCTTCCCCAAAGCCCATTCTCCCAATGTAATTATTTTATTTCCAGTATATATTACTTTTTGTTAAGTCAGTATTCAGTATTTACTTAGCCATAAATAAAATTACTTTCTTCTCTCATAAAAGAGTGTACTTGCCGTAGGCTTATGCACTTGATCCTGAAGCCTGTTGAGCAGACGTGGGGAGGCTCTGTAATACATCATGACACAGGGACTTTGGGGTGTGTTACAGGCTGAAAGCACATCAGAGGCTTCACACAGGGAAAACGTTTAACTGTGAATCTGAAGGCTGCAGCAAGTACTTCACCACACTCAGTGATCTGAGGAAGCACATTCGAACCCATACAGGAGAAAAGCCATTTCGGTAGGTCTTACTGTTTTCTATTTGTCACTGACCAGTAGCGGCTGGTATCTTGCTGTACTCTACAATTTTTCAAAATGGAAAGAAAATTCCCTTCACTAGTTTTCTGGCAGTGTACGCTCTCCCCAGGACAGCCATGACCAGTTCCTGCAGATTGGAGGGGAGGTGATGGATTCCAAGGGCAGCCTCACTCTGGATGATGGCTTCCTGCCTCATTTTCCCTTTTATTTTGAAGAAGCATTTGTTGAAACTCACTTATGTGGTAGGTATTTTTATCAGTGCTAGAGAAATCCTAAGACACAGTTTCTCCTCTTGAGAAATTTAGTCTGGTGGAAAAGAACCACAAGTGACCAGACAGTGTCGGAGACTGAGATCCCCAGAGTGTTTTGAGCACAGGGCCAGGGATACCTACCTAAGAGCCTGGCAAGAGTAGGAGGAGACAAGAGGGGAAAGGAGGGGTGGGAATACTTAGGCCAGTGGTGCAATTATTTTATTTTGTTACTTGTCCAGTTGTTTCTTTTCTTTTTTTTTTTTTTATCCTCACCCGAGGATATTTTTCCATTTTTTGTACAGATAGAGTGGGAGGGAGAGAGAGGAAGGGAGAGAGAGAGAAACATCGACGTGAAGGGACACATCGAGTGGCTGCCATCCGCACGACCAACCAAGGCCGGGGACAAACTGCAACCGAAGTACGTGCCCTTAGCGGGAACTGAACCTGGGTCTCTCCGGACCGCAGGCCGATGCTCTAACCGCTGAGCCAAACTGGCCAGGGCCAGTTGTTTCTTTATAATGTCTCATGTGTAAACACAAACAGATAGGAGCACCCATTTATATTTCAACTTATGTATCTATATACATACATATTTAATAGATATAAGTATAAATGTTTAAGCTTAAAGGAAGGACTTGTATCATCTACTCTCTTCTGTGTTCATAGCATGTAGAATTGTTCTGGGCATTCAGTAGGGATTCAAAAACAACTTAGGGATGATTACGTGACTTATTAAAAACAGTTTTTTTTCTTTATTGATTCTAGAGAGAGAGGAAGGGAGAGGGAGAGATAGAAACATTGATGAGAGAGAACATCCATTGGCTGCCATCTGCATGCCCCCCACTGGGGATCGGGCCCACAACCTGGGCATGTGTCCTGACTGGGAATCGAACCAGTGACCTTTTGGTGCATGGGTCAGTGCTCAACCACTGAGCCACACCGGCCAGGCTGATTATGTGACTTTTTAGTGAGATAATCAGTTTGTAAGGATTCTCCCTAAGTATAATACAGATGTATTACTGAAAATTGCCCATAAACAATGTTTTTGAATTCTTTCAGGAGAGATTACTGTTATATTCATGGCATTAAATGTGCTACCTTTCCCTCCTTGAATCTCTCATCTTCTCATTAGGATATCAGGAAATTGGAAAGTTTTTAGGGACAGTCACTTCTTTTTTTTTTTTTTTTTTTTTTATCCTCACCCGAGGACATTCCTCCATTTTTTGTACAGATAGAGTGGGAGGGAGAGAGAGGAAGGGAGAGAGAGAGAAACATCGACGTGAAGGGACACATCGAGTGGCTGCCACCCGCACGACCAACCAGGGCCGGGGACAAACTGCAACCGAAGTACGTGCCCTTAGCGGGAACCGAACCCGGGTCTCTCCGGACCGCAGGCGGACGCTCTAACCGCTGAGCCAAACCGGCCAGGGCGGGACAGTCACTTCTTTTTTTTTTTTTTTTTTTTTATCCTCACCCGAGGACATTTTTCCATTTTTTGTACAGATAGAGTGGGAGGGAGAGAGAGAGAAACATCGATGTGAAGGGACACATCAAGTGGCTGCCACCCGCACGACCAACCAGGGCCGGGGACAAACTGCAACCGAAGTACGTGCCCTTAGCGGGAACCGAACCCGGGTTTCTCTGGACCGCAGGCCGACGCTCTAACCGCTGAGCCAAACCGGCCAGGGCGGGACAGTCACTTCTTAAACACCAATGAAATGTAATTGTATTTTTAAATTACAGATGCACTTGAGTCATGGCCCCTCTAAAGCAAGAGTAGTTAGATTCTAGTTGGTTACTCCAGATGCTGAGACCCTCATGTTACTTTATCCCCCTTAGGGCTATTGAGGAGACTCTGATTTCTATTTAGTTATATGTATTTTTGTGATAGTAATACTGCTAACTTTTCTTGAATATTAGCTGGGACTTGAGATGCAATGATTATATATAATTGGAAAGTAAAATGCTTTAAAGAAGCTTTCTGTTTAAAGAAATAAAATATTTTGGCTTACAGGAAAATGCCTTCATTCATATAAACCGTAATTGAGTGCCTGCTGTGTGCGAGAACTGCAGCACCTGTAAAGAACTACATGGACCCTGCCCTCAAAGAGTTTTACGGTCTAGGCGAACAGATAACAACTGTATACAATGGAGATAAAACGCGATTAGAAATCACAGGTGCCATAAAAAAAAGCTAAATGCCATAGGAGTTCTGAGGAGGGAAAGATTACTTCGAGCTTTGGTTATCAGGAAAGGAAAGGAAGAAGTAATCTTGCATAAACTGAAGATTATAGATTAGTCATTCAGCCAACAGTGTTCCAGCTGATTTTGTTCTAGTGTTGTATTTCAGGCTCCATGCCCCTGCGAGCCTCTGCTCCCACTGTTGGTGTTTCTAATACTGCACTGGCGGTCGATTTTCCAGTGGGCTCTCACTGTCAATAGAATTCTGTTAAGTAATTGGCAAGAAGGCTTTTATTGTCCATGCTGCCAACATGTGCCTCATCTGTAGGACAAGAAATACTTATCCTGGGCCATCAGCTTCCTCTGATCTCAGATTTGTCCCTTACTTTTTCAGGGACTTGTCGTTACTCCCATGTCTAAATCCAGTTTCATAGACGTGACCTTGGTGTTCTGAACATTTGTTTTAGATTGAGTTTGTATTTACAAGAGGTGTTGAAGATAAAGGCTTATTAGCTAATGACTGGTGTTTCTTTTTGCTTAAACCACTTATTTAGGTGTGATCATGATGGCTGTGGAAAAGCATTTGCAGCAAGCCACCACCTTAAAACTCACGTCCGTACACATACTGGTGAGTTTGAGTTCATTTTTATTTTTTATTTTGATCTTCCTTGAGCCAAGAAGTTCCCGCATTTCTGCTGAGACCTGCAGAGCTCTGCAGAGGGAGGGAGCCCAGTCAGCTCAGCCTCCACTTGCCATGTTTGACACTCTTGCAGAGGTGAAAGGATCTGAAAGCTGGACTCAGGAATCCAACTTCAGAAATGAAAGCAAAGGAGAAACATCTGTAACAAAAATAAATTAATTTAAAAATAAATTTAAAAAAAGATTCTGATACAGCGTTGGTAATATCTTCTGGGTGTAATAAAAAATATTCAGATAAAAAAGAAAGAAAGAAGGAAATGAAAGCAGTACAAATATACTCAAAAAAGAACCTGGGGAAAAAACTGATCTTTTCTTTCAACTTCCTGGGAGCAGGGCATTTTCAGAGTTTTGCTCTATATTGTTTTAGGACTGAGCTGGTTAATGTATGATTTATCCAATTTATAATAACTCTTAGCTTGAACTCTCATAAGAACACTTTTCTCTTTTAGGGAATAGTAGGTGTTTTAATTCAGTCAAATAACTTCATGATAAAATTAACACTACTTGTTATTTTTGCAGGTGAACGACCCTTTTTCTGCCCCAGTAACGGCTGTGAGAAAACATTCAGCACTCAGTACAGTCTCAAAAGTCACATGAAAGGTCACGATAACAAAGGACACTTATACAATGCACTTCCAACTCACAATGGATCAGAGGTGTGCAGTGTTTTGTTTCTGACTTCGATCTGGGCACCATAGAACAGCAACCATTGTTTGTATATCACAAAAATGGTCAAAACATCTTTTCTGTGTATCTGTTAGTGAGAGAGAAAAAATCAGGGCCACAATCTATGTCTTGGGGATGGGTGGTAGAAGCCAGAAATTTCACCAGACTCCCTGTACTTCTGCCCTTGATTCAGCTCCACCTCTTTCCATCAGGTATGGTGGAAGAGGTTTTGAAACCAGAGGTCTCAGAATGGCTTCCAAAGGGCCAGCCAGATGCTCTGAAAGGGTGTTATTTCCCCATGCATATCTACAAGATGGTATATCTGTACTTGAGTTTGGAACATGAATTAATGCTTTGCTTTACACATCTATTAATCTATCATTGGAGAACCAGGAACAGTCTGGGTTGTCCTTTGCCCTTTTGAATTATCTTCAGACCAAAAGGTTTGAGAGCCACTAGTTTAAGGCACTGAACCACAGAACAAGCCTCTGCAAAGTTTTAGGCAGTTTTGTCTAGTCTTTGACAAGCTCTTCCACCATATTTCCCTCTCCTACAGCTCATTCCAGAGAGGTCCTGGGATAAATGTACTGTTGTTACTTCTAATGTATCTGGTACTTACCATACATATTTTAAACCTAGGGAGTGAGTACTGTTATAATCTTACTACTTCGTAGTTAAAGAAAACTAAAACACACTAACTCCCTTTCGAATGATGAGGTTCTTCAAGTACGTAATATGATTTTGATTTGGGGAGAGACAGCATACTTTAATTCTGTAGTTTGAAATTTTTAAATAGCAAAGGATCCCTTTGAAAAGACTCTCCCCTGTGTTTTATTAGTAATAATAACTCACATTTACTGAAGGTTTACTGTGTGCTAAGTACTGTGCTAAGTGCTTTTATATGTTTTATCTCACAAGAGCTCTGTGAGTTCAGCACTGTTATTATCCCCATATTACTGATAAAGAAAACTAGAGGCGCGGAGAAATTACTTGCCTCGGTGTCCAGAGTTTATAATTGCTCTTATTTCGGCAGTCTGATTCCAGAGCTTGGTTCTTGATTCCTGTGTTGTAAGAGGGAAATAGCATTAATTGTGAAGACTGTGGCCTCTGGAGCTTAGCTAACAGTTCAGATCCAAGCTCAGACACTAATCAGATGACCTTAGGCAAATGGCTTCTTTGTGCCTCAGTTTCTTCATCTGTAAACCTGGATATAAATACTAAGATTTGGGCATCTTTGTCTGCTCAGCTGCATGTATGAAGTCATAATCAGTTTTCTCACTTTTATGACAATCAAGGACAGTTTAACTGTTGCCCACCTGTAAGGATTGGAGGTCCCAGTGCATAGTGCTCAGACCTCATCTTCTCTGGATCGCTCGTCACTCTCCAGTGTGGGGAGTCTCCTCTAGCCCCAGGCTTTAAATGCCATAGAGAGGGCCCTTGGGTCCTAAATTTATGTTCAGCCTGGATCTCTTCCTGAACTCTAGACTTGCACATTCAGCCTCCCACTTGACGTCTCCACCCACATGTCATCTACTGTTCCTCAACTTGACATGTCCAAACCTGTCCTCCTGCAGCTTTCCCATCTTAGTAAGGGGCACCTCTGTTTCTAGTGGCACAGGTCAAAATTTTGGAGTTGATTTTGACTCTTTTTTCCCTCATACACCACATTCACTAGCAAAGTCTGTTAGCATTACCTTGAGAATATGTCTAGAGCCTGATTCCTTCTTCTGGTTACTTGGTTCAAGCCACTCTCATCTTTTGCCTGGATTGTTGAAGTAACGTTCTAAGTGGTCTGGGCACCTTTCCTTCTCCCCTCTCCCCTGATACACATGTTTCTACATGTATCACCCAGAATGAGCTTTCTAAACCATAAGGCAGATAATGTCTGTCCTCTGCTCATAACCCTCCAGTAGCTCCTTGTATTGCTTAAAGTAAAAGTCAGAATCTTCACAGTGGTCTACAGGGTCCTACATGCTGGCTTAGTCACTTCTCTGACCTATTTACATCTCTTCCTCTCACTTAGCCATACTGCCCTCCTGGTGGTTCCTTGAACAAGGGAAGCTCACGCCTGCCTCCAGGGCCTTTGTACTTGCTGTGTTCTCTGCTTGGAACACTTTTCCCAGATATACACATGGTCTGTGCCCTCTTTCCTTCAGTATCTGCTCAAATGCCACCTTATCTAAGAGGCCTTCCCTAATCTAATAAAAGGGCAGCTCTTACCCTAGCATTCCCTATTTCTCTTACCCTCCGTATCGCTTAGCACCATCTTGTTATTTGTTTATCCCTTCCCTCACCCCAAACTCCCATTAGAATGTAATCTGTATGGTGGGAGGGACTTTGTTTTGTTCATTATTGTGTCCCTGGGCCTGGAACAGTGCCTACTACATAGCAGATGCTCAGTGTATTTGTTGAACGCATGCATGAGGTAACAGGGTTACCACGTGAAGTGTGTGAACTGCAGCTGGCATTCTAGGGATCCAGAGTTCAGGGTTAGCCTCGGCAGCTGTGTGAGTAGTAAATCTTCAGTACCACTCTGAGGGAGGGTCCCTGAGGCGCCCATTTTGGGGTGAGATGTCCATATTGGGGACACGGATGTAATGGAAGATGGACTTGCAGTTAGAAACACTGGGTTCCTGTTCTGCTAATTAGCCGGGTGATTTTCAGCAGTTCATTGCCACTTTTCGCATTAATTTTCTCATATTTAAAATGGGAATGTAAAATAATGCCTCACAGTTGTATATGACTAGCAAGTGAGATCATGTGAAATCACTTTGTAAATGATAAGAACAATTATACAAATACTATTAATTTCATATTATCACGACTTTTGTTATTCTAGAGCCTGAGTTGTGAGATAATTTTTAAACTTTTTATTAACCATCTTTAAGAAATGTGAGAGATTCTTCTAAGACTATCAGGATCTTAAAAACTGAAATAATTCACATAGTCCTTGTTTGGATTGTCTACATATAGACATTTGGAACATTGTAATCAAGTGTTTTATTATATAATATGCTATATAAATTACATGATATAAATCCTGATTTTTTTGATACTCAAAAAGAATTCTTTTCTCTTTCATAGGATGCAAATCACTCACTTTGTCTGAGTGACTTGAGCCTTCTGTCCACAGATTCTGAATTGCGAGAAAATTCCAGTACAGTAAGTATACCTGTGATCTGAGTGCTAGAAAAATAAATGCAAGAACTGAGCACTCACTTTGGTGGGAAAATTGAGGGAGACCAGTTTTTGAAGCCCTCCAAATTTAGTTGTGTTCAATTACTAACAGTTGAAGGTTTTTCGTTTCTGTTTCTGTTTTTTTTTCTGATAAGAACTCTCATAGAGAGGTTGTTCTCTCTGATGCCTAATGCCTTTTGACCCGGGTCACTCACTTGATAGCCTCTTTCTTTATTCAGTTAGCAAATATTTATCAAGTGCCTACTCCATCAGGCAGTGTACTGGTGCTGAGCGTGTAGTGGTAAGAATGTAGGTGTGGTCTGTCCTTGAGGAGCTTAAAATTAGTCCCTTATAAGGGGAACCAGATTCTGGTTTCCAGACTTTCTCTGGACTGCAGGCCAACGCTCTAACCACTGAGCCAAACCGGCCAGGGCTGGTTTCCAGACTTTCTAAAGCTCTGCAGTTTGACCTGAGTCAGTCTTGTCCATTCTTTGAGCTCCCCGCATTGGGGTTTTGAAGGAAACCTCCTCTGTGGGCCCCCTACTAAAGGACAACCCCGCTATCCAGTCCATTTTGTTTGGCATTTGCCCCGCTTTCCCCTGGCTCCGTGCTGTGCCTTGCAGACCACTGCATTAAGCCTGAGCTTATGCTGCGCTAGGAGCATCTGTGTGCTTTACTGTGTCACCAGCATTGGTTGTTAAGTGTGCAGTTTTGTTGTTTTTCTTTGATAAATAAATATAACTTAAGCTAGCATTTCTGAGTATATAAGAAGGAATCACAGTGATAGGAACAGAGACCAATTGACCTGGGAATGCTGTGAAAAGGTATTTCTCCAAGTGGAGTCATCTGCAGCACTCCTGACAGCATAGGTTCTTGGACCTCACCCCAAGCCTGCTGAGTCAGTATCCTCTGGGAGTGGCATCTGACACTGCATATTTATGCAAGTGCCCCGAGGCCTGGGTTCTGGTAATGGCAGTATTGCTCTTATCAGACCAACTCTCACATAGAAAACAACTATATGGGCAAAATATTAAAAAACAACTACAGTGATACCTCGGTTCTCGAACGCCTCGGTTTTCGACCAAATCGGTATTCGACCAGGAGATTCGAGAAACTTTTGTCTCGGAATCCGAACAAATATTTGGAACTCGAACTTCCGAGATGAGCCGAGTGGAGCCGAATGGCGTTCATTCGGCCCAGCGCGCCTTGCTCGCGTCATCAGTGTGAGTGCAGAGAGAGTCACGCTTTGTGGAGAGAGTCACGCTTTACACTGAATTTAACCCTTAGACATACTGTACACTTTTATTTCTTGTTGAGACTTATGTTTTTCTACATATTATATACAAATTAGGCCAGTAGATAGGCATTTTCTGGGGCTTGGAACGAATTAATCCAGTTTCCATTATTTCCTATTGGGTTTCATTGCTTCGGTTCTCGAACAATTTGGTTCTCGACCGTCCTCCTGGAACGAATTATGTTCGAGAACCGAGGTATCACTGTAGTTGAAGGCACCAAAGAGCAACACAAAGGCAGAGGTAGAAGGGGCCACTTGGAAGATAGCAGAGGCACTTGGCTGCATTTTCAGATTTTATGGCTTACCCACTTCAGGCAAGCCCTGGTTGACATCAAACAAGATGGCCAAAACTCAGTGAACACTCAGTCTTGACAGGCACTATAAACCAGAGGGCAGAGGTCAGGGCTACCAAAGCACCTGCAAAATGAGAGGACATAGCCTGGAAAGGAGAGAACCACAACGTGGAAGAATTAAGTTCTGTGTATAAACTCTGTCTGATCTCTAGTTGGCCTCTGAATTGTGGACGTGTGGGGCAGACCCTAAGCAGCCTAGCAGAGGCTAAAGAAGTGGCCAAAGATTGCAGCTGCTGTCCACTGCAGGGAAGACAGGGTTTGGAGCTGGAGTACAGCCCAGTCAATGGAAAGTTAAAGCAAACACTCTTCCAAGGGTAACAGAATGCAGAGTTTTTCTATAACATATTATTTGCAATGTACAGGGTAAGCCAAATTTAGTAAACGTGAAAAGAAACAGGAAACCATTACCCCTATGCAAGAGGAAAGGTAATCCTGTGGAGACCAGCCTCAAGATGAGCCAGATGTTAGACTTGGTGCACAAGGATTTTTTTTTTTTAATTTAATCCTCAGGATATGTGTGCTGATTTTAGAGAGAGAAGAAGGGAAAAGGAAAGAAACAGAGAGAGAAACATCAATGTATGAGAGAAACATTGATCAGTTGCCTCCGTATGCTCCCCCACCAGGGATCAAACCTGAAACCTAGGTATATGCCCTGATCAGGAATCAATCTGGCAGCCTTTTGGGCACAGAATGATGCTCCAACCAACTGAGCCACACTGGCCTGGATGGCGGACAAGGATTTTTAAGTAGCTCCAGGACATAAAGGAGTATGCTTGCAATGATTGAATATATAGGAAATCTAAGCAGAGAAATAGACTATAAAAAATGTACTGACTGGCCCTGGCCGGTTTGGCTCAGCGATTAGAGTGTCGGCCTGTGGTCCAGAGAGACCTGGGTTCAGTTCCCACTAAGGGCACGTACCTCGGTTGCAGTTTGTTTGGGCCCTGGTTGGGTCATGTGGAAGATAGCCACTCGATGTTTCTTTCTCTTTCTCTCTCTCCCTCCCATTCTATCTGAACAAAAAATGTCCTCAGGTGAAGATTTAAAAAAAAAATGTACCGACTGGAAATTCCGGAACTGAAAATTTATCAGAAATAAAAAATTCACTGGATGAGTTTAGCAGCAGATTAGAATTGACAGAAGAAAGAATCGTTTAAATTAAAGCTAGATCAATAGAAATTAGCCAATCTGAAGAACAAAGAAAAACATTGAATAGCACTTATATGATTTTTATGCATATTCACATTCAGAACTAATGCTCTAGAAGAAATTTCTATATTGGGTGGCCTCGATGCGCTATGCTGCCTAAGATTTCTGGGTATGATATCTCTTTAATCTCAGATTGTGTTAAATGGTTTAGGGGTTTACTCCTGGCTAGGGCTGTGGCATATGATTGAGGTCCTTTTTGGAGCCCTGGGGTCACCAGGTGAGGAATCTTGGTAGGAGGGAACATTAAGTACTTGTAAAAAACGGGAATCCTTTTCTACTGCAGTGTACATCAGCAAGAGAGAGGCTGCTCTGTCCCTTGGGGTCAAATTACATACTGTGCCCTTGTTGCCCAGCATTTACCCCAGAATTGGAAACAGTCTCATTTTTAGCCTTTCAATGTAGCCATAATTCCTTGAAGTCATAAGATTAATTTTGCTTTGTTTTACTTTGTTTTAAAAACAATGATGGATTGTTGCCCTGGCTGGTTTGGCTCATTGATTAGAGTGTCAGCCTGCAAACCAAAGAGTCACGGGTCCGATTCTGGTCAAGGGCACGTACCTTGGTTGCGGTTCAGTCCCCAGCCCTGGTTGCAATTGTGTATGAGACAACCAATGTGTCTCTCTCACATCGATGTTTCTCTCTCCCTCTCTCCATCTCTCTTCCCCTCGCACTCTATCTGAAGATAAAAAAATGGAGAAATATCCTCGGGTGAAGATTAAAAAAAAGTAATAATAAAAAAAAACAATGATGGATTGTTAAAATCAAATGATAAATTGTTATACAGTTATCATTCTGTGGGTTTCTGGCAGCTACATGGGTCCTAGAAGTGAACTTTGATTTGCTCAGATCTTTTTTTTTTTTTTTTTTAGTTTTAATTAATTTATTTTTGTTACAAATGCCCCTCCCACCCACACCTCACCCCCGGTCCTGCTCTGATCTTTGTTATAGAAGGGTTGCAGCCCGTAGAGAATGGCCCACTGAGAACTCTTGGCTGTTGAGCTTAGGGTCCATTCTGGTCCTGCACAGCTCCCAGTGTTCTTTCCTCCCTGCTCCAGGCCCCAGAGGCTCAGCGTGTTCTTGTCTTCTCCACTTTTGGGAGCTGCTCTCAGGGTTTTTGCCCTGAAGCCTGGCAGGGGCAGAGTCACAGTTCCCTCAGCACTTAACTCTTTCCTTTCCTTTTTTTTTTTTTAAATTAAAAACTTTATTGATATTAATATATATAAAGAAAAGTACACCAGTCATAAATATACAGTTTAATGAATCATCACAATTCATCACATCCAAGTAACCAGCACCGAAATCAAGAAACAGAATAGTCCCAACACCCTAAAAACCCCCTTCATGCCTCTAACAGTTATTACCTCTCCCTAAGGATAACCACTATCCTGACTCCTAACAACTGTGATGAATTTTGACTGTTTTTGTGCTTTGTATATTGGAGTCATGTGGTCTGTCATCACTTATACTGGTTTCTTTCTACGTGTAAGAAGTCAGACCTTATTGTTGCATATAGTATTGGATCATTCATTCTCGTTAAACAGTATTACACCAGACAAATATGCCTAGTTTGTTCTATCTCCTTCCCTTGGATATCTGGATAGTGTCTAGTTTGGGGCCAAGATGAATAGTGCTGCTGTGAACATTCTTGTACATAATCTTTTGGAGTCACACAGGCTCATCTCTTTTCAGCTGTTATTGCTGATGATCTGTAAGCAGGTAGAACAAAACAACAAAAAGCCCACAAGGAAGCTGCAAAGTTTATAGCTTAGTGGTAGTTGTTAGCCCACTGTTTTTCAAAATGAGTTGTACCTCTTTATTGGGTTATAAAATAGTATTTATAATCAGCACTTTAAAGACATCAACAAAATAGAAAGTATTAGAAGACATTGCACATAGTAAGGGTAAGCTCTGTTTCATAGACGTTGTTTCAGTTACATACATGGATATGCATGTAATATGAAGTATATATGTGTATGTATACTCTGTAGTGTAAAATGTATTTCTTTGTGTCACGATGAAAAGTTTGCCCCCTGTGGACTGGAAGCCGGAAGCCTCACATAGATTTCTGCCTTCAGCTTCTATCACAGTGGCAGTGAGATTCACTGAACTGCCCCTCTCGTTCTTCCAGGTGGTGGAATCACGCTAGAATAATTGGCCCCTCTTGGCTCAAAAGGGAAGTTTTTTCTCTGAGGAGCTCTGGATGGGTGGGCGGTTCTGCTCAGCACACTTTGCCCAACCCCAGAGTGACCCTTCTCCCTCCCAGAAGCAGAGTTACTGCAGAATTACCTTAAAGAACAAGTTGGCACTGGGGCCAAATATGGCCTGCAGATAGGTTTTGTTTGGTGTATACAATGCTTTTAAATGGTTTTCAATTAAAAATCAGTAGATTTAGGACTGTTCTTGAGTTCTGGTACTCCGCAGCCTGCAGAGCCCGGGTTTCCACTAAAGCCCTTGGATGACTGGGTGTGTGCTCTCCAGTTTGCCACAGCCTCCCGGTCCCTGCCCCCTTGTTTCACTTATTTCTAGTACTTGTCTAGACTCTTGGAGCTTGTCTGTCACTCTTGCCCTTCAAAATGCATGGGTGGAGGTGGACTGGAGGTGGATTGCAAATAAAAGAATTGCTGTTTTTTCCCCTTCCCTTAACTGAAAGGAAGCCTGGAGGAGGTCATTGTATTTGATGCCTATCAGGACTCAGGTCCTCAGGGCAATATGTTTGTTTATTTCCCGTTTTATTTTTATAAATGCCTTTAACCTTCTTGTAATCATGAGTTACCAAGAATCAATGTAATGACAGACAGTAATGCTTATAAGACGATCACTATTGCCTGTCATTAAAAGTTCTTTATATTGTTTGATTCGTTATCATGTGTACATATTAGAATCTTATAGATGTTATGTAATGACCTTGAAAGGTATTAACAATATATTATTACATGAGAGAAACAAGTTGCAGGTCATGGATAGTCAGTCCCATTTTTATGTAGGATTTGGTCTTTTAAAAAACATCCTCACCTAAGGATGTTTTTATTGATTAGAGAAAGAGAGAGAAAAACATCAATGTAAGAGAAACATCGATCGGTTACCCCCAGCACACACCACAACCGGGGATCAGCCCCACAACCTAGGTAAGTGTCCTGACCGAGAATCAAGCCTGCAACCTTTTGGTGTATGGGATGACACTCCAACCAACTGAGCCATCTGGCCAGGGCAGGATTTGGTCTTTTAAAGCAGGGTTCAGCACACTATTTTTGTAAAAGGCCAGGTAGTAAATACTTTTGACTTTGTAGAGTGTATGGTCTCCGTCCCACCTCTTCAGCTCTGCCATTGTAGCTGAAAGCACATAGACAATGAATGAATGAACATGCTTGTGTTCAGTAAAATTTTATGTAACAGGCTTTCGGCTTGCTAGTCAGCTTGTTGAATTCTGTTTTAGAATATTTGAGGACCCAAATCTTGAATGTCTGAGATTTAGGGACATACATGTCACCTGAAAAAGCAGAAGTTAGAAACAAGAAGCATATCAAAAGATCATTGTGGTTCTGCTGCTCTCTGTCCTCCATGGTGAAGAATTGCCTCCGATGGCGGGTCTCACATCTTTGTCTTTGTCCATCAGATACAGGGCCACGATCTCAGCACACTTTCACCAGCAATCATCTTTAAATCCATGTTCCAGAATTCAGATGACACGGCAATTCAGGAAGATCCTCAACAGACAGGTTTGTTACAGACGCTTTTCCTGCTCAGATCTCAGCACTGGGGAAGGGAACTCACACTGTTGACACACAGAATGATAGGCATGGCGAAAGATTATTTCAGTTCCTTTAAATGAAGTGACTTTCAGTGAGAGGTTAGGAAAGTAAGGGCCTTTCAGTTTGATTCCATCTTTACCCTATTTCCCTCAGCAGGGGTCATCTTGAGGGTCTATTTTCCCTAGACCCTCAAAGAAGAGGGTTTCCTTTCCCGAAAGCTCTTGTTGGCTCTGAAAAATGAGAGATGTGAGCTCCTCCGGTGTGACACCTTGTTCATGAGTGGGCAGGACTGACAGACTTAGCCGTCAGATGCAGAGATCACGCTGGATGAGAATCTGTCACTGAAGCTCACAGTAGTCAGAAAGTGCACACTCTGGTCATGCCAGAAAAGAATGTCCAGCCCCGTTTCTAGAAAAGCCTTACAGCACATTTTTTTTATGCTAAGACCTATACTGTGTCTTCACATTTAGAAAGTGAGGTTGATCGTGAAGCCTGGTACTTTGACCAGGGGTGTCATGAAATGAAAAGCAGAGAAAGGCCAGCCTGCCAGCAATGAAGGAATTGGCTCCAACAGACTTCAGCTGCCTGTGGTTTAGCTCATAGTGACTGTGTTTTTGTGGCTCATGTAAGGCTCGGGATACGTATATACATTTCTATTTCTTTTTCTTGCCAGCTGCCTTGATTGAAAGTTTTAATGGTGATGCAGAGTCAGTCAGTGATGTTCCGCCATCCACAGGAAATTCAGCATCTTTATCTCTTCCACTTGTACTGCAGCCTGGCATCTCCGAGCCACCCCAGCCTCTACTACCAGCCTCAGCACCGTCTGCTCCTCCGCCTGCTCCCTCCCTAGGAACTGGTTCCCAGCAAGCTGCATTTGGTACCCCCCCTGCTCTCTTACAACCTCCAGAAGTGCCTGTTCCCCACAGCACACAGTTTGCTGCTAATCCTCAAGAGTTTCTTCCGCACCCTCAGGCACCGCAGCCCGTCGTACCCGGACTTTCTGTTGTTGCTGGGGCTTCTGCATCAGCAGCGGCAGTGACATCAGCCGTAGCAGCACCGCCCCAACCACAAAGTACTACTGAGCCCCTGCCAGCCATGGTCCAGACTCTACCCTTGGGTGCCAACTCGGTCCTAACTAATAACCCTACTATCACCATCACCCCGACTCCCAGCACGGCCATCCTGCAGTCCAGCCTAGTCATGGGAGAACAGAACTTGCAATGGATATTAAATGGTGCCACCAGCTCACCACAAAACCAAGAGCAAATTGTAAGTATTATATATAAACAGATCCAGTGGGGGTGAAGTGTTTTTACATAGGTAACATGTTCAGAGGCTTCTACGTCATAAAGGAAAATGGCTGTCACATCTGCCCTGAAACATGTAATTCTCTTAGTCAGTTTCCCCAGAATCAGGTGGTGTAAATCCAGGGAATGCTGTGGCCAATACCTACAGTAGGGAGGCAAAGAACCAACCTTCAAGTTTGCCTAGCAGTAGGAACAGATATCTCATCTGCAGTCTAATCCCGTCATCTGGGATAGGAGAGCGGTCAACAAACTCCAGAGGCCCAAGAACGTTTCAGGAAAGTAGGTCCTATCTTCAGGGCAGAGTCACTGATGTGAGGGACTAATGTGACCCCATCAGAGGGCCAAAGCAGAGAAATAGTCTCTGCTCCCAGAGCCCACTTAGAGCCATTTTCTACACAAGTATTTGGTCTCAATGATAAGGAACTGACTTGGTCGGTCAATTAAATGTGTTTTGAGAGCCTGGTGTTTACCAGATACCACGTAGATACCCTGGGGTATACCAAAAAGTGAAAACCATGATCTCTTTTTCATAAAAGCTTAACATTCTAGTTAAAGAGACTAAAATGCTTAAAAGCAAAAAGGAGAAACATCTGTAACAAAAATAAATTAATAAAAAAATTTAAAAATAAATAAATAAAATAAAATGTTTAAAAGGAATTAACATTACCAGTAGGTAATGTGCCAAATAATAATAAAAATGGTAATAGAAAAAAACAACAGCTATGATTTATTGAGCCCTTACTGTGTGTGAAGGCTTACTGTGCTAACTAAGCACTTTTAAAACAGAATCTAAGGTGTAAGTCATTACACCTTTTGTACATTATTTTTAAGTTAAATTTTTTTCCATTTTATTAAACAGATAGTACAGAGAATTCCCATATACCCTTTGTGGCGCCACCCCCTCCCCCCATAATTAACATCATTCATCAGTGTGGTAACATTTGTTGTAACTGGTTAGTCAATAGTGATACATTGTTGTTAACTAAAGTCCTTAGATTCCATTAGGATTCACTCTTTGTGTGGTATCAGACAAATGCGTAGGTGTCATGTATGTACCATTACAGTGTCCAGAATAGTTTCATCATGCTAAAAATCCCTTCTCACTTATCCATCCCTTTTCCCTCTCCCCTAGCAGCCACTGATCTTTTTACTGTTTCTATAGGTCTGTATCTCAGTGTCACTCACTGTGCTAAGTACTTTTTAATGCATTACAGCAATCCTAGGAGGTAGGTAGGATTTTACCAATGGAGAGCTGAGGCCCAATTAAGTGACTAGCCCAAGGTCACACAACTCGTAAGTGGCAAAGCTGGGGTGTGAGCACAGGACAAGTGCAAAGCCTGTGCTCTTAATTACTTCGTCATGCTGCCTGCTGAGCAGTTCAGAGACTAAGGGCTTGTTAGTCAGGTGAGCCTTGAGGTATGAGTAGGACTTGGAGAAAAGGCTACCCCAGGTAGGAGAATGTTTGGATGGATGGATGATGCTCTCAAACAAACTAGTAAAGGGTCAACTCAAATCCCATAAATGGGGTGCCAGCCACCTCTGGAGGCAATCTCGTTCCATTTTCAGAGAGCTGGGATCACTGGAAAGGTCTTTTCAGCGTTAGGACCCAATTTGCCTCCATGTGGTTTGTATCATTTTTTCCGGATCTGCCCAGGGAGCTGAAGGGAACAGGTGTCATTCCTTTCCCACGCAGTTCATTTTCATACAGTTAAAATGGGTCTCATTTTTCCATCATTATTTTATAGTGTCATCTCCTATAACTTAGCCAGAAGCTTTCACATTCCTCCTAGACTTTCTTTTCTTCCTTAAAGGGATAAAAGACAAAGCCCTTTTAAGATAAACTTGAAGAAAGTAGAAACTCTATAGCCAATTTAATAGGAAGTGTACTAAAGCCATTAGGGTGATTTCTGGGCACGACTTTGTAGTCCTGCTTAGTGGTAATGTAAGTAGCTAATGTTTGCCAAGCACTCGCCGTGTGCCAAGGACTCTACGTGCATCCTCTCATTTCATCCTTGCAGGGGTCCTCTGGGAGGTCCTTTGGTTATCATCCCCATTTTTACAGATGGAGAAACAGACTCTAAGTCTTAGCGTCCAAACTCGACCACTTATTAGGTGTGAGGTCAGGCAGGTGATTTAAGGGTTGAGTTAGGACTTAAATCAGGTGTGGCAGAGTCCAGAGCCTACCCCTGAGCAACTTCCCTGTGCTCGGGGCCTTCACCGGGGCTGCTCTGCCTGTGAGAGGAGGCCTTAGCCTGTCCTTAGCATGCAGCTCAGTCCTCGAGGGGAAGAAAGAACTTTCAGCCTCATGGAAGTACTGGGGAATGGTGGAGAGCAGAGAGCTTGGAGGGGAAGCTAGCCCTGGGGCTCCCTTTGAGACCATCAGCTTGAGAAAAGGAACCTTGGAGGAGCCTCTGGGCACACACAACCACTGGATGAGGCAGCTGGGAGGTAGCCAAGTAGTGGGGGACAAAGCTGGCTACATTGTCCTCACTGAATGTCAAACAGTGGGGTGACCTCATGTCAGAGTGCAAACAAAACATCTCAGTGCAGAAATCCCTCAGCACCAAGGTTCCGTCCCCTTGGATGGCCGTTACCGTTGGGGAGGCTTCGGCTCCTTGGAGAGCTGCCTTGTCTGAGTGGCAATAAATGTGATTTTTTTTTTTTTTTTTTTTCAGCAGCAAGCATCTAAAGTTGAGAAGGTGTTTTTTACCACTGCGGTACCAGTAGCCAGTAGCACAGGTATGTAATTCTGTGAGCTTTAAAAGATAGCTCTCTGGGCCCCTGGAGGCACAGTTCATTGTTGCTTTGCCCCAGTTTTTAAAACTTGATAATCAAATTTGTCACATCATATTGTTTATTTATTAGAGTATTTCATATTCTTATAACTATTAGAGGCTCGTGCACTTACGGCATAAATACCATGTTTTACATATTTTAACTGGTAACAGTTCTTTTCCTTTCAGGTACAGCTTTCAAATGTAGCCAGAAAAAAGTCTGAATCACAGTTAATGCTAAAGAAGGCAGTTGTTAATTCATTGGACTCTTTTCTAATTACAGTAATGAAGAAATAGCATCTGGGTCAGAGACTATATAGAATTTTTTAAAAAGCCCTGGCCGGTTTTGCTCAGCGGTTAGAGCGTCGGCCTGCGGTCCAGAGAGACCCGGGTTCGGTTCCCGCTAAGGGCATGTACCTCGGTTGCAGTTTGTCCCCAGCCCTGGTTGGGTCATGCGGGTGGCAGCCACTCGATGTGTCCCTTTCACATCGATGTTTCTCTCTCTCTCTTTCTCCCACTCTATCTGAACAAAAAATGGAAAAAATGTCCTTGGGTGAAGATGAAAAAAAAAAAGAATTAACAACAGGTCCTTTCCTTCCAAACTCTTTATGTTAATAGATTCAGAAATTGAGGCCCTGAAAGATTAAATGACTTCCCCACAATCACCAATGAGCTTATGGCAGAGCCAAAGCAGGAGTTCTCAGGCCTCCTGATTCCCTCTGCTCTCCTGCCCCTTGGTCTGTAGCACACACGAAGCCCATCTGAATCACAGAGTGTGTGTGCGTGCAAGGTGGTTGTGTAAAAGGAGGTTTACGACCCCTGCTGTGTATCAGAGACAGGGTTACAAAGATGAGTGAGACGTCCTGAAGGAGCTCAGAGCCTCTGGGGCGGGTGGAGGTGAACACGTCCCATATAGTGTGGACCGAGCCCAGTGTGGACAGGGGCAGGAGGAACACAGGAGCTCTGCAGACAGTACCAGGCAGCTGCCCTGGGCCGGCCCTAGGTAGAAGCCTGCGGGAAGCACTGCCTGGAGGCATGGGGGCAGTGAGCTGGGTCTTCAGAGATAAGAAGAGTAAGTTCTCCACAAGAATAGCCTGGGGAGTTTAGGCTGAAGGAAGCACCCAGAGACTCAGAGGTAAGAAGAACATGTCAGGATAAGAGAGGCGTCCACTGTGGCTGGCACGGAGGGTACAGGGGAGAGGATGGCTGGAAACGAGACTGGAAATGCAGGGTGCAACTTGATGGTGAGTGTGGCTTTCTAAGGAAGAGGGACTTTGTCTTGGCACATGGCATCTACCCTCTCCATCATTCCTGCCTCCATGGCACTCAGCTCTCACCTAGTCTAGCTCCCCCTGTGCCTGCAGCCTCTTGAAGAGCAGTCTCTCTCGCCTCTCTCGCAGGGAGCCCTGTACAGCAGATTGGCCTCAGTGTTCCTGTGATCATCATCAAGCAAGAGGAGGCATGTCAGTGTCAGTGTGCATGCCGGGACTCTGCCAAGGAGCGGGCAACTGGCAGGAGAAAGGGCTGTTCCTCCCCACCCCCTCCGGAGCCCAGCCCCCAGCCTTCTGATGGGCCAGGCCTGAAGATACCACCACAGACTTTCTCCTCACCCTCTGTCACCCTGTCATCCTCCTCTACTGTACCCTCTTCCTGTGAGCAAAGCAGACAAGCAGAGACTCCTCCAGACCCTCAGACAGAAACGTTAAGTGCCATGGATGTGTCAGAGTTTCTGTCCCTCCAAAACCTGGACACCCCGTCCAATCTGATTCCCATTGAAGCACTACTGCAGGGGGAGGAGGAGCTGGGCCTGACCAGCAGCTTCTCCAAGTGAAAGGCCCGATGTGCTCCCCTTTAGGAAGAGAGGGCCAGCAGGAAGCATACATGAGGTGTGATGCCTACCATCGTGGGATTGGCGATTTGAAGGATGAAGAAATCTACTGTTTGAAATCCTCACCTTTCAGATGTATTTTCTTTATTCATATCCCAGGAGCATCCATTTTAAGGAACTGATCTTTGGGAAAGAAAAAAAAACAACAAAACAAAACAAAAAAAAGCTAAGTTATAAATGAACTGTTTGGCTGCACTGTATGTCACTTTTGCTTATTGTCATGTGAACTTGGAAATTAAGGTTACTCGTATGCATAAAAATTCGAAGTGAAAGGGTGTGGTTTCCATCAATGTGATGTTGCCCATCACTTGCACTGGGGCCTTCTGGTTTGGGCAGTGGGATTCAGCGTGTCAGGTGTTGCTCCTCCTTGTGTGTCTTTTGAGACTGAGGCCAGAGCTTGCTCTGAAGGCCAGACCCTCGCTCCATCAGAGGGGGAAGTGGCAAAGGCAGGTCAGACAGCTGTGAGCTGGACAGGACTTGGGTAAAATGGTTTTGCTGTTTGCGCCTGGTGTCAGTGGAGCTCAGAGTGACTGTGGCAGGTGTCATCCCGAATCCAGCTGCAGCACAGATGGGCAGCTAAAAGCCTGGCCCGAAGCTGTGGTGGTGATCTGGTTCTGCAGGGGCCCTAGCGAGCTGTTTGCTGTCTGTCAATGATGCGTGTGCAGAGCAGGCTCTAGCAACATGATCACAGTCTTTGCCTTCCTGGTTCTTTCTGTCTCTCAGTTGGTTGCCGGGTTTGCAGATTGCAGTGATTTTTTCTTGAGGAACATCCCTATTTTGTCCTAGAGTGGACATACGGCCAGTGGCCAATTGCTGGTTGGTGCTCTGCCTTCCTTTAATGGTATTTTTCTTCCTCAGAGCAGAAGAGCTGCATTTTGCTTATCAGAAGGTGTAGCGTTAAGGGAGGTTTTTTTAAGGTGGCATGTTATTGGCAAGCCAGGTTCCAGGTTCTAGCCAGGCTTTTGGTTGCCCCTCGCATCTCCTCTCTCACCCCACTGAATTTTGCATACAGCCTAGTACAGTGCAAAGAAGGATGTGACTTGCTCAGCTTAGTCATATGATTTCTAAACAAAAACAAAAAATAAAAACACAAAACGATGATCTTCTACTCAGGGTAAAACAAACAAACAAAAAATTTCCCTTCCACCAAAAAGCCTGAAATGTTGCAATAAGTTATCTCATCTGGAATGTTTCATTAAGTTGTGTTATAGAAAAGAAGAATTGTTTTTGATTTGTGTATAGAATTACATCCATCTGTCTGCCTTTTGCTCCAAGTCATTGCCTCTAAACATAAAACATAAAATACAATCCACACTAAAATGGAAAGTTTCTCTCAACTGGCTATTAATGTAGTCATGAGTGCTCACCAAGCTCACTGAGCTCAGAAACTGGGCATTGCCCAGTGTCTAGACTGGGCCTCTGTCCCCCAAGGGCCCCTACCCTACCTTGTGCGAGGAGAGGTTTCCACGAACAGGGCTGCTCTTCTGAGTCAACGATGTCAGGCAGAAAGTAACTATAAATTGCCTTTCTTTCCCCCTCCCTAATGTAAAGAGATCTGCATTTGTCACTCCCCTGTTCACTGAGCCATTATTCGGCGCCAGCCGAGACAGTATCCAGAGCAGATCATTTTGGGAGCCAGAAGCCGCCTTCAGCATGGTGTTCAGGGACAGACTTGAACAAGAGTCTGTGGTGGTAAATTTTATTGCCATGAGAAATGGGCTTAGCCACAAGCGGCTGGTAGTTTCTCATTCCAGAAGTCTAGGCAGGAGAATTGGTTTCTTTTTGACCTGACTCCCCTCCCCAAAAGGCTGTGGGTTCCAGCAACCATTCAGCAGAAGTTGATAAGGCAGGAGGACTTTCCTATTAATATTACAGTAGGTTGGTCCTGGAAAACCAACTGCCGAGCATGGCTTGTCCTTGGCTGTCTCTGGACCTTGAACCCATAGGAAGCTTTGAGGTAGGACCCTTCCTGTTTTCTCTACCTCTTCTGAGAGAGAGCAGCACAATAGGATCCCAAAGGTAGTTCACATTGGAGGGCAAGAATGACCTCCTCCGACATACCTAGTCACCTGGGATTCAGTTCCCTGGGAGCAGGTGGCAAACAGGAGCCCAGGGAAAGCTGCTAGAAGGGTCCATGATTTAAATGTTGCTTCCTTCTGGTAGCCAACTCTGTGCTGTCGTGTTGTCTGCCCAGGTCAGTAGTTTTTCCACTCTCCAAAGATTGGAGATGATGAAGCAGCATCTTAAAACAGTGTCTAGGCGGACAGATTTTTCTGGTTGAAGTATCTGCCTTGTGAGGGTGACTCAAGATTACAAGGGGGACTCTCAAACCCAGTCAGCTTGTGAAAAATCAGGAGTGTGCTTAAAATGTTCGTGAGCGGCTGTAAAGAGCAGCTTATCCCACAGGCTAGGCCAATTGTCCTTTCCTTCCTCTTCCAGCACTCTCTCCCCACCCGCTTCTGTAATGAGCCTGGCCGTCAGTGCCAGGGCCTGGGAGAAGAGAGGGCCACTGGCTCAAGTGGAGCCAGACAGAGCCTTCATGGAGAGTGTGGTTTCCCAAACCCGGGAATGAACCTAGGGTAAGTTTAGGGAATTCTAGCAGGTGAAATCAAGCCTTGTGCTTCCCATGGTGACCTTAACCATTTTCTCACCCTGTAGATTTATACTTCCAGTTCCCACTAGCATCTCTAGTTACACTGCTCCTTTACAGGGTGCTAGTCAGCATCGGGAATAGGAGTTCATGTGCTTAGGAAGTGATAGGAAACTGGCTGGCACTGCCAAGCTGCCTTAGCAAAATGTGGCCCTTCCCAGGCGGGGGGTGGGGCATTGAGGGAAAGTGGCCCTGCCTCTCCTGGCCGGGCCTGGTCAACCTCATGGGGGGCATCACTAGTTTGGTGACAGGAGTTAGTGTCATTTATTGAATCCCTCCCACCCCATCCTTTTAGGAGATCTTGGTACAAAGCCTGGGAGGGGCCTTAATGAGTGAAGACCTCTCTGGGTGAAAGCAGGGACTTCCCTTCACCACCTCTGGGACAGTCAGCTTGGAGAGTTTACCTTCACTGTCAAGGCAGTGGACTGATGGGGATAATGGAGGGCGGGTGGGTTTCTTGAGAGACTGTATAATGCTGAATGTGTCCAGAGGGACGAGTTTGCAGAACCTCATATTGGTATATTAAAGAAATAATAAAATAAAAAAGCACTTTAGGTTATTTTATCTTTAACCCAATTGCTGCAATTTCTTTTGTGTGTGTGTGTGTGTGTGTGTGTGTGTGTACTTTCCACAAAGTTTTATTTTTTGCTCAGAATAAAAAGTTAAATTGAGGTGTGAAAAGAAAAGCACTTACCTTGGTGCAATATGTGTAGCTTGATGGTCGTTGTCCCATGTGGCCCTGGCCTGGCGGCATTTTCTGCTCCATCAGCCCTGTACCAGGAGGCTGTCTAGGGAAACACTATTATGCATTCTCAGCAACTGCTCAATCTATGCAAGCCTTCCCTGTGTGCCCGAGGGCGCCCCCTCAGGCTCTCTAAAGAACTGCTGCAGGTCCTGTTTTCTTCTGCTGACTGTTGAGGCCGTTTTTCATCACTTCTTGCACCCTTGCCATCTTTCCCCTCTTCACCATTACAAAGTGATGCCTGAAAGGAAGGAACAGGTTGTTCCTAGGTAGAAACCTGGCACCTTCTAGACTTTTCTATGTGTAATCATGTCCATTGTTCTTAATCTTAAAGACTTCTCCAGAGTCACTTAAACCATTGATTTGTGGAACTGCAACAGTATTGCTAAAGACTTCAGTTTTCCTACATCACCAATCAGAAATATGTTTGGGAAGGTGTTAGTAGTGGGGAGGCAACATGAGTCATTTCTTCACTGTTCCCATACTGCCCGTGTTGGCTCGTTAAGCCAAAAGGCCTCCAGCCTTCATTAAATCCAATAAACAAAGCTGTTAATAATTTGCTTTATTAACTTTTTCCCTTCCCCCTTACTCCTCTCTTGTTCTCCCTCCCACCCCATTTCATCTTCAGTCTCAGGCTATGATACAAAAGAAACGTTTAAAAATACTTCAGCCAAAGCAGAAATATTACCATAGATCCAGTATGCAAAGGATTCTGCTGTGACATAGATTGGAATTGTTCATTCCTTAATATTTGGGGAGGGGAGGCAACAAAACTGAATTATGCATATTTCTGATTGGTAACCAGTTTAGCCTGTTTCCTCTGGGTTAGTTTTGGGGAAGAGGGAAAGCATCCTGCTGTTTCTTCTCATGCCCTTTGGGGAAGCTGATGACCACTGTTAGGGCATTTCTCACTGTTAATGCCTGTTCAAGAGAGGGCTTCTCAGTCTGCACTGAAAATGCAAATTAAACTGGATCTTTATGTCAATGTGTACATAGTACAAGCTTTTTTACTGGATGCAAAGTTTAAAACTACACACTGCCCTTTTTGGTGGTGTGCCTGCTGGGCCAAAAATTGGGTAATAATGTGGTGTCACTTTCTCAGCTCAATGCAGTTTCTACTCTTTTTCTTATGGGAAAGTTTTTCATAAAAACCTTTTTCACCAAAACCCAGGGGTGTTTTTTGCAATATCCTTGTTATCCTCGTAGTGGTGCCAAGTCAGAGGCCTCTCTTGCCCTCTCCTGTGTCCTCAGGCCTCCCCTAGGGTGATGTTTGACTCAACAGTCTAGTCCTTTGTTGTTTTTTTTGCCGAATGTGGGGGTGAGGGGTCAGAGTTCCAGGTGGTTGTTTCTTTTCCCTGTGAACTTCTAGTCCCTGTGTGGGGAAGGTGGCTGGAAACACTGTTTTGCTAAATCTCTGGCTTAGATCTTCTGGCCAGGAAGACCCACGAGAACCTTACTTTTTGACATACATTAGTCATTGGCCAGAGGTCTTGGTGACAGTTCTTTAAATCCTAAATAGTTTTCTTTGGGTTATGTAAAGCCTATCAAATTCATTTAAGTGTGAAACATGGGAACAACGGAATTCCACTGAGCGATATGAAAACGTTACAGGTTCAGTACTTCCAAAGGAAGAAACCTCCAAACCCAAAAAAGAGTAAATATGAATTTGTATTTTTGAAGAATGTGAAACAATGGTGTTTGCTTAATTGCTCATTTTGTATAAACTTAATATTGTACTTTAAAATATCTGCTAAGAAGTGAAAATTTAACTTTTTGGAATTGAAAAAGCAATATTAAATACTAATGAGATCCTAATTAAATGCTTATTTAAATCTGGTAGTTATCTGTGGTATTTCTTCCCAACCCTGCCCCTGGTTGACAGTTTTAAACCAATCCCCCCCTCCCAGCCATCAGTCTTAGAGATGGGACAGAAAGGAAAGGTCGGTCACCAGGAGAGTCTGCAGGTTTCCTTTTAATCAAGGCTCTGCTAAAAGTGTTTCTGTGGGACTTGGAGCCCCCAAAGCATGAAATGGACATGTAACACCACCTGGATCCCCCAAAGCAGGCCAGACCACTCTGGCAAGCACTGCTGGCCTGCCAAAATCCGGTCATTAGACTGGGTATTCCTTGGCTACATTTCAAAGCTCAGCACTGCCTTCAGCTAGGATGAAGTGGGATTGAACCCAGCTGCTAGCAGAGCTGCCACCCTAGGCTGAGGGCCAAGTTCCAGCCACTGCCAGTGAAGGCTGGCCCCTTTATTGAAGGCAGTTGTTTAGAGTCCAGCCACCAGCCCCGGGGAGGGAGAGAACTCAGGGCCACCGGCTCGGGAATGGTTAGGGCTCCGCAGCTCCATCGCCAGCATCCTTTGGAAAACCACCTCTGGCGGAGACAGCTGGCTGTGGGGGCGCTCCAGGTTTGGCTGAGATATTCTGGTTGGAAGAGAAAGGAAAAAAAGTGAGACTGGAAGGAAAGGCCTTGGATTAGGCCCCGAAAGGATATGGCTACTTGGCATCTGGACAGCTCTGAACTTTTTCAGAGCCTCTCGCCCTATGAAAGGTGGGAGGTAAAGCTGGGGGCCGCTTTCACCCTCCGCGGGAAGCTAGGGCTTAGCAAATCTAGCCAGTGAATAGTCCCACCTCCCAGGCCCAGCTCGGGGTGGGCACTAACCCCGCCACCCGCCGGTTCCGGGCGCCGGCGGCCCAGCTGCCGCAGCATCTCCTCGCAGGCGGCGATGGTGTCCAGGAGCTGCCGCTGCCGCTGCTCCACCGCGTCCAGCAGCTGCTGGGCGCGCTCATCCCGGGGCGGCTGCGGGGGTGGCCTCCCGCCGAGCCCCAGCGCCGCTTTCCCACGGTCCACGCCGGCAGCCTCCCTGCCCGGGAGAGAGCGAGAGACAGACGGTCAAGGCCGGCGCTGGCGGTCCGAGCCCATTCCTCCCGCCCCGACGGGCCCCGTCTCACCCCCGTGACCAGTCTGAGCCGGGGCCCCATTCCATCTCCGCCTGCGCGGCCCGACCACCGCCCCCCTTTCGGCCGCCCCCCCTCCCCAGCACTGCGCTAAGGCTCCGCAAAGCTGCGCCCCGCCCCGTCCCGTCCCCACCGATCTCCTTCAATCCTCCTGGGGGTCGTGGTCCCTTTAAGTTGTCCGGCGCGGAGGCGGGGCCGAGCCTCCTGGACCGGAAGTTGACTGGGCGCGTCACTTCCTCCCGGAAGCGGGCCTAGGCGGATGTCTCCTGCGCGTCCCTGCAAGGGGCTGAGGGCCGCGGTGGCTGCCAGCGTGGGGTTGAGCGAAGGGCCGGCGGGCTCCGCCCGGAGCGGCCGCCTCCTCCGCCCTCCGAGTCCCGCTCGGGCGGCGCCGGGGTGCCGGCTGTTGCGACTCCCGGGGAACGGGGCCGCGCGGTCCGCAAGCCCCGAGCGCGCCGGTTGGACCGAGGCGCTGCGGGCTGCCGTGGCCGAGCTGCGCGCCGGCGCCGTGGTGGCCGTCCCCACCGATACGCTGTACGGCCTGGCCTGCTCGGCGAGCTGCTCGGCGGCACTGGGCGCTGTGTACCGCATCAAGGGCCGCAGGGAGGCCAAGCCGCTGGCCGTGTGCCTGGGCCGCGTGGCCGACGTCTACAGGTAAGGCCTCCCCGACCCGGCCCCGCTGGGGGCGGCCCCGCGGGAGGGGCTTCCGGTGACAGGCTTGGGAGACTGAGGCGCGGAGAACGGGAGGGGCTTGTCCAGGCTCACCCAGGAATCCGGAACTGGAAATGTGTGCGGAGCACTCGGCGTCTGCCAGCCCCGAGCGAGATGCTGGGCGCGGAGATGAACGGGGCAGGCAAGGTCCCTGTTCTCCCGGCGTTTTTGTGACTAATGGGGGCAGTCCCGCGGTTAAATAAAAAAGGAAAGAAACACACGGCCGTTTAATTTAAGAGGGAGGGTTTTGAAAGTCTGGACTAGGACCAGCAGTGGCCCATCATTCTTGGATAGATCTGTGCCCCCTTTGTTTCCCAGGTACTGTCATGTGAGAGTACCCGAGGGGCTTCTGAAAGACCTATTACCAGGACCAGTGACCCTGGTGATGGAACGCTCGGAGGAACTCAATAAGGACCTGAACCCCTTCACTCCTGTGAGTCAGACGTTCTCATGTCTCCAGATGCCTGCCGTTTGGCCGTCACAAGCGTCCAGGCTGGACCCATTCCCCAACTCCTTCCATCCTTTCTCATGATCCCCTTTCATCTTGCTTCATAGCTTGTAGGCATCCGTATTCCAGACCATGCCTTCATGCAGGACTTGGCCCAGATGTTTGGGGGACCTCTTGCTCTCACCAGTGCCAACCTCAGCTCCCAGGCCAGTTCTCTGAATGTCAAGGTGAGAATTTCCTAGTCCCCCTTTCCAGAAATGTCACCAGGCCAAACACAGTTTTCTCTGAACCAGTGGGGGTGGATGGTTGGCTGGAATTACCTGGCAGGGGAGTCTAATGGTGGGAAGTCAGCCCAGTTGGCAGGGGTTGGGTTGGAGGGAATCCAAGTTAAAGAATCTTGGAAAGATTTTATTACAAAGTTTGAGAAGCAAGGGGGAGAATTGGTGTTTTCGTCTTATCTTTTAAATAAGAAACATTATAATTGTTTTCCCCTTTTTGTAGGGGTAACAGTTATCAGAGAATATGTTAGGTGATAACTCTTTACAACAAGTGCTATAAAGAAAGTTAAGGCTCCAAAATCACTTGTCCCAGGGACTCCTGACCATGTTCTTTTACCTTTGCCATAAGCCAAGTCAGAGAAAGGATCATCCTAATCTGTGTTAGCTGTGTAGCTTAGAACAAATGAGGACACAAAGCAATTTAACTTACCTCAATGTTTTCTTCTTACTGAACCGAAATGTAGAACATAGTAAAGTGATGGGGTTTTCCATGCCCAGACCTAGAGAATGGGTTCAGGAGCCTTGGAAAGTGAGAGCTCGGCATCCCTTCTTATTCTCAGACTGCAGGCTTTTACTTGGTCCTAGTGGCTGTACTCAAGGAAGCGGGGAGGGGGATGGCGGGAGGTATTCTTCCCTTTTCAGGAGGCAGTTGACCTATCCAACTGTATTCATGACTCCCCTATCCTAGATTCCCCCAAATGCCACTGTGGTGTCTCATAAGGGGTGAAGGCAGGGATGGGGGGGAGTGGGCAGTGCTCTAGCTCAGAAAGGAGCACCCTTGGGGGAGTCCACCCTGTGTTCCTCTTTGTATGGTGACCCAGCATTCCACTGAGATCCAGGATCAGAGTGCTAGAGCTGGAGGGACCCTTAGGGACCACCTAGTCCAGTTCCCTTGTTTTACAGCCTGAGATAAAGTAACTTGAATGTAACCACACAGAGGTTGGATGGAAAGTCCAGGGTAGAGCCCATACCACTGGGCTTCCACTAGGACTTGAGTCATTATACTTATACCTCCCCAACAGAAACGATGTGTAGGATTTCCTCCTGGCACAGCAAGGTATTCTTTGAGCTCAAGATAGATGTTTCTTGGGGTACTAATTGTGGGGGGAGGGGGCTTCAAACCTCATAGGATGCAGTGTCCTTAGCATAGCTGACCTTAATTAAATGAGGTACCTTCCCCTGCTCAGAGGAATGTGCCTCCTGTTTGTGGATTGCGTAGCCTTTGTCTCATTTATGAACCCTGCCTGCAGTGCGACATCGTTGCAGATGCCAGAAGTAGTGCTCATGCTTCTCCTCTCCTTAGGAGTTCCAGGACCTCTGGCCTCAGTTGTCCCTGGTAGTTGATGGCGGACCAATTGGGGATGGCCAGAGCCCTGAGTGTCGCCTAGGCTCAACTGTGGTTGACTTGTCTGTGCCTGGAAAGTTTGGCATCATTCGTCCAGGCTGGTGAGTCTCTTTCCTATGGCATGGAGATAGAATTTGAGGGCAGTTGGGAGATGCAGAAAAGGCCTTGACAAAATAAAGGTTGTCACACCCTCTTGCCCTGACAACCTTTATTTGGAGTAGTGGGGGGAGTGAGACTAATTTTGCTGGTGTTTGCTGGCTTTTTCAGGATTCAAAAGGATTCAAGGGTTTGATGAACAGAGTATATAGTAAGACCAGAGAGTTTAGAGCTCCCTGATCACTGGACTCTGCTGGGCTTTGGGAAGTCAGACTCTGAACTGTCCTGCATTTCCTCCTCAGTGCCCTGGAAAATACTACGGCTGTCCTCCAGCAGAAGTACGGGCTGCTCCCATCACATGGATCCTGCTTCTGAAACTCGGGAGGCAGGAGGGCCAGGGTGATGCTGGACACTGTGTGTCTGTCCACTGGTGGCTGGCAAGGCCTCATTTGCAGAGGCCACTGGGGCCACAGCTTCACTGGATCTGACACTTTTAAGGCAGTTTGTCTTTCTGGACACTGGACCAGGCCCCAGCAGCTGCTGGCTCAGCTTCACGCCTGGGGGAGGGGGCTATATTTATTATCTGTAATTTCGTATGTCAGTCAAAAGCCAAATAGAGACTTTAAGAACATTTCTAGAATGTTCTTATTCTGGTCAGTCTTCTTTCCTTTCTCTCCTTTTTAAAGTTTTGAAATATAATTTAAATTACATTTGGAATCTAGTATGAGGTGGTGGCATTTAAGGTCCAAATGGCTAGAGCGCCAAAAATTGGTGCTGTTTCAAAGTCTCAGGTGACCAAAGGCGTGCGTTTTGTGCTCCTCCAGCTGGACCAGGTTAGCATAAAGATTATAGAGCCACAGGCCAAACACTCTTTCCTCTGAACTAGGGGCTGGTGGTGTGGCCTGCTGTGATTGCCTGGCAGTCGTCATATTGGTCTGATGGAGGAAGTCAGCTCAGTTGGCAGGGAATGGGATGAGGGGTCCAAATTAGAGAGTATTGGAAAATAAATCTCTACTATCTCTTTCAGACAGTGACTTTTCTTATTCATAAAAAAATTATAATTATGCTTATAATACCTTTATTTAAATCCAGTGTCCACTCAGCAGCCTTTGTGTGTATTCATATGTATACCAAGTGTTAAACATTGTTATTATCGGCCATTTGAACTTTGTTTTTCTTTGATAGAAAATAATGCTGCTATTAAACATCTTTGAAAATGGTTTGGTTTTTTTCTTTGGATTATTTCCTTAGGGTAGGATTACTAGGTCAAAGAGTATGAACATTTTTATGGCTCTTGATACAGATTAGCCTTCAAGAGAATTGAATCAGGTTGCCATCAGCGACATGAGAATTGCTGCCCCCGCCCCCTGGAGCATTGCCACACTTTTAGTATTTTTCAGAGTGTATATTTGTGTAATCAGGCCTCAGCGTTACTCGCTTCTGTAAATTACTACAGGTCACCACATCTAGCCCTTTTCACCTGCCCCTGCTTGCCTTGGTTTCCCCAAGAAGTCACAAGCAAGGTGATCAAGCCTACCCTGTCCATCAGTGTGATTTAGTATCAGTTACCTAACTGCAGCTGGGAGTCCCTTGTACCAGTAGGGCCCACTACCTCTCCTCTGCTTTGCACGCAGTTCCCAGAATTGGGATTCAGTCTTGAGCCCATAAACTTCTCAATGTAATGGTTCCCATATACATATTTTCAAGAATCTTGCCAAGGTGGTGTCCCAGGACCTGCTTTGAGTGTCTCTGCAGTTAGCACATTACATTTATTTGTAAAGAAGCTATGGTTTGTGCCCTGGCCGGTTTGGCTCAGCGGTTAGAGCGTCGGCCTGCGGTCCTGAGAGACCCGGGTTCGGTTCCTGCTAAGGGCATGTACCTCGGTTGCAGTTTGTCCCCGGCCCTGGTCGGTTGTGCGGGTGGCAGCCACTCGATGTGTCCCTTTCACATCGATGTTTCTCCCTCTCTGTTCCTCTCTCTCCCTCCCACTCTACCTGAGCAAAAAATGGAAAAATGTCCTCGGGTGAGGATAAAAAAAAAAAAAAAAAGAAGCAATGGTTTGTTAAATATTCCCTCTAGAAATCTCATTTACTAATTTGTTTGTTTTTTATCCTCACCCAAGGACATTTTTACATTTATCTTCAGATAGAGGGGGAGGAAGAGAGAAACATCGATGTGAGAGAGACGCATCTAGTGGCTGCCACCCACACAGCCCCAAGTGGGGCTGGGGACAAACTGCAACGGAGGTGCATGCCCTTAGCAGGAAACGAACCTGGGACTCTCCGCTCTGCAGGCTGATGCTCTAAACCGCTAAGCCAGACTGGCCAGGGCTGTTTTTGTTTGTTTTTAAATGAGTCATTTAATCCTCATAACTTGTTTACTAATTTCTTAAGCAAACTCACACTTCATTGTGCTAACACTAGCCATCTCATATGTCAATTTGTGAGAATCTGACTAAGGGTTCAGAATTTGTGAAGTCTTAAAGAGAGCAAGAGGAATGTTTACTTGAGAATACCACATCATTTAATTTTTACAAATCACAGTAGTACTGAAAATGGCTCTAGTGAATGGGCCTCATTCCATTTAGGCAGCTAAAGGGAGGGAGCTGTCCTAGTCCTCTCCCTGGAGCTAAGTGTTCACCCGGGGAAAACGGAGGCTCGAGCACAGAGGTATTTTCTTAGAACCAGAACTCCCAGCAGTGGGTAAAACTGCAAAAAAAGGAAAAACCTATAGCTCTGCTTTAGCACTAGCTACAAGGCCATTCCAAATAGGGGAAGCTGGATCCTGTAGGTCAGGAAGACGAACTATTCCTGGTCATTTGTTCCCAGCACATAGTAAGGGGCTCGGTCTGTGTTGACTGGATGTGTGAATGCTCAGGATTATTTCCTGAAAATCAGGTCCAGGAATCTACTGGGAATAACTTAAACCTAGAATTTCCCTCTTAGAAAGTCTCAAATATGGTCCCCTAACTTGGACAAGAGACGATGTGGGAAGGAAGCCTGAAGAGGAGACGGAGGCTGGCAGAAGGAGCAGGGAGCATGCTAGCCCAGAACCCTGACACCCTTCTAAGAGCAGTGGCTTGGCCGCCACTAGACCACACCAACCTGCCGAGCTCAAAGCTGGAATGGGATTATTTTGAAGTGTTCTCACTGAGGATGTGAAGCTTCCCTGGGCTAAGTCCAGTCACCGGCCAGCCTCTACAATTCCCTCTGGAACTCTGCCCACCCTCCTGTCACTGCACAACAACCCCAGCACCACTTGCTTGAGGAACAGGCTCTGTTCCTACATGGGCCCAGGCTTGATGGCCCACCCAGAGGCACCCAGCTGCTGACTTGGAGACAGTGCCTACGCCCCCTAGCTGAGCCCACATGGGGACAGCATTCCAGTGCGTCTGGGACATCAGCACCTCATGCCATCTGTAGCCCCTCACATTAGCCACTGCTCCTTCTCTTTGATGAAGTGCTCAGCCCAGCGGCGAGTCAGCTCTAGGTACAGGCTGGGCTGATGAGGCAGGTAGTCCAAATACAGGCGAGTTGGCGTCTTCTTGGGAATGGCCTTCTCAATCTGGGTGCCCTCGTGCCACTCATTGAAAGAGGTGATGGAGATGATCTCGGGCCTCACTGTCAGGGCTGCCTGCAGGGCTGTCTCATAGTACTTGCCATTGACCCTGTTCCGCGTGTTGTGGTTATTCCAGGGCCGGATGCTGGTGTCAATGTAGCCGGGCCCCACACTGGGAATGAACATGAGGTTGTTGGCATCGCAAAAGTTCTTCACAGCTTTCCAGTTCTGATGCGAGGAGCCAAAGGAGAAACCGTTGGAGGCAAAGTAGGTGTACATGCCATCAAATCCGGCGGCCAGGATGTCGTGGGTGTGGCCCTCCTCCACGAGCAACGCTATGAAGACCCCATCATAGGGGGTGTTGCGGATTGAGTGCGGCCCATTTGGTGTCAGGAGGTGGGCCCAGGCCTCAGGGGTTGTTAGGTATGAGTCATAGATATAAAAGAGTGGGAGGCTCTTACCCATGCTGTTCTTATAGCGGTAAAATGCGCCATGGGAGCCATACCTGAGGAACAGGAGGAAGAAGAGCTTGAGCTGGCAGCCTAGGATAGGAGAAGCCAGCACAGCTGTGGGACCAGCCATGGATGACAGCTTTCCTGAGGCCCGAGCACAATTTTGGATCCAGTCAGGCTCCATAATTGGCCTGTCGTGCCTCTAAGCAAGAACCTAGTTCCCTTCCTCCTCTCCCCAGCCTTGTCATTCCTTTATTCAAGCCTCACCTCTCTGCCCTAGGCCAAGCCACCACCATCTTCCATCTGGACTGCAGGCTCCCACTTCTGCCTATTTATAACCCATTCTCTTGTAAAGCCTACATCAGATCTGATTGCTCCTTACCAGGACCTGCAAGTCCCCACCTACTTGATCTGGCCCTGCCCTCCTCCATTCCTGCTATTATCCCCATCTGTCACTACACTCCAGCTACACTGGCCTTTCTAGTCTGCTGTCAGGCTTGTCCCATCCTATATCCCTTGGATCTGACAGCCCTCCGGCTGGAAATTTCTGCCTGCACCTGATTTGCAGAGCCACCTCTTCATTTAGGTGTTAGCTCGCGTGTCATCTCCTCAGAGAGCTCCCTTGACCACCCATTCTCAAGTCTTTTTTTGGACACACTCTAACACAACACCTCGCTTTATTCTTTTTGTTTTGTTTTGTTAATCCTCACCCAAGGATATTTTTCCATGGATTTTTTTTTTTTTTTTTAGATAGAGTGGAAGGGAGGGAGAGAGAGAGAAACATTGATGTGAGAGAGACACGTCAACTGGTTGCCTCCCGCATGAACCTAACTGGGGCTGGGGATCAAACCTGCAACCCAGGTACGTGCTCTTGATCAGGAATTGAACCCAAGACCCTTTGGTCCATGGGCTGACGCTCTAACTGCTGAGCCAAATCGGCCAGGGCTGCTTTATTTTTTATTATTTTTCATAGTATGGATCACTCTTCAATTTCTTGTGTGTGTTCTCTGCTCCATTGTACGCCCTACACACACTAGAATGTAAACTTTGCTAGTCCTACCCATTACTGTACCATGGGGGCTTACTTAGGACAGAGCCTAGACACCTACAGGCACTCAACAAGTAGTTATGAACGAATGACATGTGCAAGCTCTGTACAAGCCACTTTCACACCATTACCTCATGTGACTCTCACAAGACTCAAAGGTTAAGGGGCTTGCTTTTGTTGCAGACTGGAGGCTGCAGAACCAAAATTCAAACCCAGGTTGCTGATTCTAAACCCAGTGCTTTCTTACTATGAAATAACTGCTTGGGCCCTGGCCGGTTTGGCTCAGCGGTTAGAGCGTCAGCCTGCGGACGAGAGAGTCCTGGGTTCGGTTCCTACTAAGGGTACGTACCTCAGTTGCAGTTTGTCCCCGGCCCAGTTGGGGTTGTGTGGGTGGCAACCAGTCAATGTGTCTCTCTCACATCAATGTTTCTCTCTCTCTCTTCCTCCCTCTCTCCCTCCCGCTCTATCTGAAGATAGATGTAAAAGTGTCCTCAGGTGAGGATAAAAAAATAAAATTACTGCTTGGGACATAGCCATTCTGCCCTTGTATCTCTTGGTCTGCCCCTCCAAACCTTTTATCTCTACTCCAGTTTTGACCCCCACCAAAATCCATGCCCCAGAGCAGCCTTACGTGTCAATGATGTACTTGATGTTGTCATGCAGACTGACGTCATCCCGGCCCTTGTAGGGTTGGATGTGGAATGCCACCTGCCACAAACAGGAGATACTGGTCAGGTGAATATCTGTCCAGGGGTCACAACCTGTAAGGCTCATGCTCGAACAATGGCCTAGAGGAAAGGCTGAGTTCAGAAGAGGGCCTGGCAATGGTGGGCACAATAGACGAAAGCAGCCACTGCCCTCAGGGCCAAAAAAGGGGACAGGAAATTTGCCCACCTCTCACAGCTGGGCATCTGGGAATCATGCTGAGGGGCTGTGGCAGGATGGCTGATAGTGACTGGCACTAGATGCCTAAAACTATGAGACAAAGTATACTGAGGCGGTGTTGACGGGGAAATGTGCTATGACCTATAAAGTGTGTTGGTGATGGGCTCAAGAATGGGAATGGGGCTCTTCTTCATCGTTTTGCTGCCACAGGAGGGGGGAATGACTGATTTGATTGGTACATTTGGGGGAAATAACTGGACATGCTTAGCTAAGCGCCCTCATTCCTCTTGAAGTAAGCCTACTTGCTGAGAACTCATGTGCTCCGCCAGCACTGCCTCCCAGTCGGAAGCTGAGGCTGGAATTGTCTGTGGGCCCATTTGGCCCTTGTCTGCACTCTATCCAGAGTCAGGGTCTCCAACTTAACCTCCATTGTTGTGGTATTTAGTCTCCCATTTCTCCTGCGTAGGGTTGGGGGTTTGGTGGATGAACAAAATGTAACCTTGAGGTGTGCATTCTCACAGCCTGGCCAGCCAAGGATCAAAGTATGCAAGAGAACAGATAAGGTATGCACAGATGGGTTGGAACACTGCCCTGGAAGTGCCAATCAAAGTATGCATGAGAATAGATAAGGTATGCATATTGGGTTGGAATGCTGCCCTGAAAGTGCCAATTGGGTTTATGGCCCAAGCGTGAATGTTTGTTATGTTTCTCCGATGAAAAAGAGAGACAGCTGGGACAGGAAGAATGCTGGGCTTGGCTATCAGGTCAGCAAAGAGGCTAATCTCAAGGACTTGATTACCTAAAACACAGTGTAACCTAGGGAACCACTTTGAAAATAAATTGGGCTGCATCCAGAAGTCAGGAGCAATTGCTACCTTGCAATGCTCCCCCTCACTCCAAGCCGTGTCTGCTTATAGTTCATTGCGCTGCGGAGAGTCAGCACTCCTATATTTAGTTTTCCCAACGTTTTTTCAGAATTGAATAAAATAAGAGTGACACGGGCAGTATTTATTAGAACCCCACCCCAACACCACACTTGCTACTTATTTGCCATAGCTTGGCTCATGCCAAGAACTTGGGTGGAGTCACTATCCTTATGGGCAGAAGAGGGAAAATCTCCAGAGTGGGCCAGAGGGCACTTGATCTCTTCTTGAACACTCACCTGGATGTTGTATTGATGGGCAGTATCCAGAATGGCAGGCACCAGGTCATCTGAGGGTTCCCCATTATCATCAGCCATGCCAGGTGGATACCAGGACAGGACCAGGACACCTGAGACACAACACGAGTTACTTCAGAGACACACAGTATCCCTGCACCAGAGATTTCTTTCCTCACAAACCATCTCCAGCAGCAAAATGGTTTCTGAGTGAAACCCCAGAGCAAGGCTCCTGCCACATTCACTTCCTGCAGAGGTCAGATTCCTTTCAGGAGCCTTGGCCCTGGAGCTGTCCTCGCCCGCGGTGCTGAATCGCAGCGACTGGGGCAACCTTAACGCACCAGGTCTGGAAGGAGCCTGAGAAAAGCCGGTTGGAGCCGGCTTTTGCTTACAGTACCAAGTAGTAGAACAAAGGGAAATGGGTGGACAACGCCACACCCACCCAGAAGCCACAGTCCCATCCCTGATAAAGAGGAACACGTCTGAGTTCCCAAAGAAGAAGAGACCTGAACAGAGAAGTCGTCTGATTCTTTCTGGGGAATAGCATTTGTCTAGACTGTCTGCCCCTGTGGACTGTAAAATCCTGAGGGATGGACTTTGAGTTATTTTTCTGTGAATACCTTCCCCCAATATCTCTGGCATTAAATTTTCCCCCTCACTCACTAATCATTTCCAGATAAGTTGAAATGTACTGTAAAATCCAGCAGACTTCAGTGACAAAATCTGAAACAGGTGAGCCCCCACTCCAGCCTGCCTACAAAGGAGGCTCCCGTAGACCTCTTTTCAAACAGAGACTTGAAGAAAGGCTCCCGAACCCCATCCTGCAAACAGCAGAGTCCATCATGCAACGTGGGCAAACTTTCCTTCCTGCAGCCAGCAGAAGCAGGGAGGGCTGCTGCTCTATCTACCCCAGGCGCTACTCCCCCAAATCCCAAACTCCTGCGGGACCAGGACATCCAGGCTTCACTTACCCAAACCTAGAAACCTCAAAGACATAAAGACTCTGCCTCCCTCTCCTCACAGTCCCTACCTAGAACAGCTCTGGTCCAACCGCCTTCCACTGGTTCTCCCAGCAGCTCCGCCCTATGAAAGGGCCCTGAATAGTTGGGGGTCAGAAGGCAGAGGGGGGTGCGTCTGAACACTAGAAAGTGGGGCAGTGCCTCACGAAAGGGATAAGAAGCCGGGCTGAAGGGTGAGTGGGGCCAAAGGCCCGGTGACTGGGCCACGTGGAGTTGTGGTAGAGGAAGAGAGGTGAGGCTGGGGGACAGGGACGCCCGGGTTGGGGGGGGGGCACTCACCGATGGCGGCTTCTTTGAGCTGGGTCATATGCTCCCGCAGCACGTCGGGGTCCCGGGAGCTGTAGGGCCCCAGCTCCGGGTAGAAGCTGGAGCCCAAGTCGTCAGGGGGACTATGGCGGCCGCGGGGGTAGCTGGCCGAGATCTTGGGGTCCCAGTGCGGCACCATGACGTGGTCCCAGTGAATGTAGTGGCCCTCGCGCCGCGGGCTCCCATACCACGAATAGTAGAAGGCGTGCAGGTCCGAGTAGACGCGCAGACTCTGCCCAGGGGCGGGCTCGGCCTCTGCGGGGGCCGGTTCCGGGGGACTGCCCGGGCCCGCGGTGCGGGGCGGCGGCGGCGGCGGCGGCGGCGCAGCGGGGGCGGCCGGGGCCCGGGGGGCGGGCGCGGGGAGCCCCTCCGGGCGTCGCTCGAAGGACGCCAGCTCCAGGCCTGGGCCCAGAGCCGGGAGTCCGTCCGGAGCTTTGAGCGTGCGCAGGCCCATAAGGGTGCCGAAGGCGAAGAGCAGCACCAGGAACAGCGCGATGCAGGCGCGGCGCCGCCGCCGGGCCATGGCGGCCCCTGCGCTCCTAGCGTCCGGCGGGCGAGCTCCCGGCGCGCCGCCCCATGGTTGCCCGCCCGGCTCCCGCGCGCCGCGTAGCCCGCGCGCGTCCCAGGGAGACGGCGGCGCGGAGCGCCGGGCGCGGCGTGGGCGGCCCCCGCCTCTCCCCCGCAGTGCGGGCGGGCCCGGCACACACAGAATGCAGGCGGCGCAGACCAAGTGGTCGCGCGCCGAGGGGGTGGGCGCGGGGGAGAGACGAGGAGTGGCCGAACTGCGAGTCCCCGGGCCGAAGAGGCAGGGCCCTAAATCCAGCCGAGCGACGCGCGGAGGACGTGTCGCCTTTCAGCCTGGGCGGCGGGGTGGAGGCGCCCGGTGGGGAGAAGGTGCCCTCCTTCCGGAGCCCAGGAGAAGGTCCGTCCTGGCGGCGGCGCTGAAGGGCGTGGGAGCAGAGGGCAGTCTGGGGAAGAAAGTGAGTGCTTCTGGTTGTCCTTCTCCCCCAGTGACCACTCTTTACTGACTTCACCGACCCCCTCCCTACTGATTTCAGTGACCTCTCGCGTTTGCCCCAGGTCCCCCATCCTTCGGACCCCTCTCACACACCCCAGGCAGCTTCTGAAGCCTGGGGAAAGAGGCTTCGGGAAACCCCTGGAGTCAGACACCACACATGGGCTAGAACACAGAAGGATGAAGGAGACCGTCCCTTGCACAAGGTCACATGCAGCAGGTCTAAACCCAAGAGTCAGGATTAGCTCGCCCGAGCTCCTCTCCCATCCGGACTGCCTGGTCTCAGGCCTGTTGTCTTCCGGAGCTGTCCGTCTGCCCTTGAGCAGTCTCCTGGAGTCGGTGAGGACTAAATGAGAGGGTTACCGTAAAGCATGTTTTACAGGGCCTGACAAAATTTGCTGTTCTTTCTGGACTCTGAGTGCCAAAGGACAGGCCCGGGTTGCGTTTTCCTTTTAAGATGTCTAGGGCTGCAAGAACAGGTCGGCTTCTCGGTTCCCAAGGCTGTTTGTTGAACCACTCTGATGTGATATTCTATAGACGATACGTCAATCAACATTGATTGAGTACCTACTCTGCATTATTCATTGTTATTCATTCAGAAAATAGTTTTACTCGTTGTCTGCCTCCTTCACTGGTCCATAAAGACAGCAACTTTGTTTCATCAGCTGCTCCGTCTGTGGTGTCTAAAACAGAGTTTGGCATAATAGCATGCACCTGATTCTTAGTTCTTAAGGAAATGAATTGTAGGAAATCCAGGAAGAGGAGGATCAAGATGGGGAAATGTGGGTAGGTCTGGAGCCCAGGAAAGTGAGTTTGAGAGAATTCATGGTAGTAAGTGTGAATTAGGTAGAATGCTTTCAGCTCCAAGTAGCAGATCTGATTCAAACTGGCTTACTCATTGTGGCAATGCATCATCTCATAATGCAGGAAGTCCAATGGTAGGCAGAGTGCGTAGATTCCACGTTCAACATGTCATTAGGAACCTGAGAGGTCTCCATCTCACTGCTCTGCTGTCCTCACCATTGACTTCATGCCGAGGCCGGCTCCATTCACATCACAAAAGCAGCCATAACTGTTCAGTCCAGGGCTAAACTCTGACTCACGATGAACCAAAAATAATGCCTGTTTCCCATTGTACCAATCATGAACACTGACCCAAGGGTTATCCATTACAATCCTTCTCTGGGATTTTTCTCTCTAATGCTGAGGATAGACTCAGTGTTTCTCTCTAAAGGTAATGCCCTTAGAGGAGAGGGAACAAGGGACAGAGAGGAACTTAGTGGTATTGGAGTCCCTGATTTTGGTTTTCCTTGGGATCTAGTTTCACTGTGAAACACTAAAAAAATATTTTAGTAAATGATCCTTTTATTCTAAGCAAGAAGAGTTCTTGGAACAGACTTTGTTGGTTGCCTATCAATCTCAGGCAGAGATCGAGAAAGGGACTTAGGAGCAGGGAGGTCATTTGGGATGTAACCCTAGGAATCAAGAGTGGAGAATTATGGAGAATGAGACAAAAAAGAAAAGCCAAACTAATGGTGCATTATGGAGGCTGCTGCTATAGATACTGAGGCCTTGGTTCCACCAGGGCTTCTGAGAAGTGCACAGATGCCTCCCAGAATGAAAAGGTGTGAGACTAAAGCAATGATCCACTGGCCCCCCTCCTCCACCAGCTGACCTGTTTCCCTAAGGCTGTTAACTTCCTTCTACTTCCGGTCTCCTTTGTGCCAGGTAGGCTCCCATGCTATCAGAGAAGGTTCTGAGACCAGCAAAAAGATAGAAAGAAAAACACATTGTATGTTTGAAGTGAGAGGTGAGTCTAGGCGTGCACAGAACTGTCCAACCTTACTGTGCTCTCATAACAAATTGCTACAAACTTAGCAGCTTAAAACAGTACAGACATGTCTTATCTCATAGTTTCTCTAAGTCAAAAATGTGGGCACAGGGTGGCTCAGCTGGTTCTCTGCCTAGAGTCTCACAAGACAAAAGACAAAAATCAGACTGTTGGCAGGACTGTGCTCCTTTGTGGAGGCTTTAGGAACAAATTCCTGTCCCAGATCATTGGCAGAATTCAGTTCTATGCACCTGTAGGACTGAGGTCCTCATTTCCTTGCGGGCTGTGAATTGGGGGTCTTTCTCGCCTTCTAGAGGCTGCCTGGATTTCTTGGCTCAAGACTCCCTTTTCACCTTCAAAGCCAGCAACTAGCAACATCAGGTCCAGTCTTGCTCACACTTCACATCTCTGTGACCTCCTCCTCTACCTCATCTCTCCTATCTCCCTCTCCTACTATTAAGAGCTCCTGTGATACATTAGGCCCAGTTGGATACTCAAGGAGAATTTCCTTATTTTAAGGACACTTGATTAATAGCCTTAACCCCATCTGCGAAGTCCCTTCACAGCAGTAACCTGATTAGTGTTTGAATGAGTAAGAGGACAGAATCTTGGGGACGGGGACATCTTTAGAATTCTGCCTATCACAGAAGCTGTTGTTGAAATCAGAGTATGCCAAGGGTGGCTTCCAAGGTGTCTGCTACACCCACTCTGCCAGTTAAAATGTGTCCAGCTGCAAATACAAAGGGAAATAACTAAATATGGCTTAAAACAGTGCTTTTCAAACTCTAATGCGCATATCAGTCCCGTGGAGATTTTATGAAAATGCAGACTCTGATTCAGCAGGTCAGAGGTGGGGCCTGAGATTCTGCATTTCCTTTGTACATTTTTTATTTTATTTTTATTTGACTTTAGCTAAAGAAAGAGGAAAGGAGAGAGAAGGGAAGGAGGGAGAGAGTGAGAGGAGAGAGAGAAACATCAATTTGTTGTTCCACTTATTTATGCATTCATTACTTGATTCTTCTATGTGCCCTGACTGGGGATCGATCCCACAACTTTGGTGTTTCTGGATGATGGTCCAACCAACTGAGCTAGCCAGCCAGGGTGAGATTCTGCATTTCTAATAATATCTCAGGTGGTGTGCTTTTGGTGGTTGCAGACCACATTTTAGGACTTAAAGTACAGTGGGCTTATTACTCCACATAGTGAGGTAGGTGTCTTTAGGTAGGCTGGTTTGGAGGCTGGTTAATCCAGAGGTTCAAAGGCACTGAGGCATCAGATCATCTTGTCTGTGGTTGTCTGGCCTTCCCGTTGTGGTTGAAAAAGAATAGAAACAGGTCCAAGCATCACATTTCCACCTGACAATATCCAGAGACAGAAGCGAAATGGCTGTTTTATATCCCTTTTAAAGAGTAAGATAAACTTTTCCAGAAGCTCTCAGTGACTTCCCATCATTTCGCATTGGCCAGAATGGTTTCATGTGTTCAAGTTTAAGCCAATCCCTTGCCAAGGCCATTCAGAGAAGGGCGAGTGAAATCAGAAAGAAGGGAGGAAATAAATGGGAGTTGGGTTATCAGCCAAGAATGTTTCCCACGTCCACCCATAGTCTGTTCCTCTCTTCTTTTTCACTATGTTGAAAGAACCCCCACTGGGGCAGGAGATGGCAGATTTACTCTGTGGAAAAGTGGAACAAGAGAGCCTCCTGACTCTGGGCACCGGTGCCAGCAGAGGTAGAGGTGAGGTGCCATGTTGAAATCCAAGGGGATAAATAAAAATATGTGTAATGAGCGGTCATAAGCCAGCCTCTAGAAAGTTTGCTCCAAGCAGAAGTCTAAGTGACTCCTCTCTGGAGAAAAAGAAAGACCCCTTGTGAATAATCCTCTACATACTGAAAAGTCAGCTTACTGCCTGATCAATCCAGAGTGAAATACATGACTCAGCAAACCTGCCCTTTGCATTGAGGGCCTATATATATATATATATATATATATATATATATATATATATTTGTTTCAAATGAATAGTAGTTAAACAATTATATAGTTTACAAAGTGATCTCCCGGATAATTCTAATACCCACTTGGCACCATACATAGATTGTTATTACAATATAATTGACTATATTCCCTATGCTCTACTTTATATCCCCGTGACTATTTCGTAACTTCTCATACCTTCACCTTTTTCACCCATTCCCCCTCCCAATCTGGCAACCCTCTGTTTGTTCACGTGTATCTATGAGTTTGTTTTGTTTGTCCTTCAGATCTAGCAGTCAGCTTTCTAAATGATTCCCGGACATTTAGTGTAAGCTTCTAAATGAAAAGCAGAGATAAAAACAAGCAAACAGAAAAGAAACAGTGAAAGAGCAAGAGCGACTAGATCAGAGGAAACAGAAATGATGTATTAGGCCAAATAAAACAAGCAAATGACAAAATACTGTCATCTGATATGTCAGAGATTTTGCATTCATGAAACAAGAACAGAGAACTATATAAAAGTGGGAAGTTGCCCTGGCCAGTTTGGCTCAGCGGTTAGAGCGTCAGCCCTTGGACCAAAGAGTTGCAGATTTGATTCTGGTCAAGGGTGTGTACCTTGGTTGCCATTGGGTCCCCGGCCCTTGTTGGGGTTGTGCAGGAGGCAACCAATTGATGTGTCTCTTTTGTATCGATTTTTCTCTCTT